ACGGACAGTTAACCCATAACAACGCATGTAAACGCATGGCAACGGACAGTTAACCCATAACAACGCATGTAAACGCATGGCAACGGACAGTTAACCCATGGCAACGGACAGTTAACCCATGGCAACGAACCGGTTACCATGGCAACGGACCGGTTACCATGGCAACGGACCGGTAACCCATGGCAACGGACCGGTTACCATGGCAACGGACCGTAACCCATGGCAACGGACAGTTAACCCATAACAACGCATGTAAACGCATGGCAACGGACAGTTAACCCATAACAACGCATGTAAACGCATGGCAACGGACAGTTAACCCATAACAACGCATGTAAACGCATGGCAACGGACAGTTAATGCATGGCAACGGACAGTTAACCCATGGCAACGGTCATATAACCCATGGCAACGGACAGTTAACCCATAACAACGCATGTAAACGCATGGCAACGGACAGTTAACCCATAACAACGCATGTAAACGCATGGCAACGGACAGTTAACCCATGGCAACGGTCATATAACCCATGGCAACGGACAGTTAACCCATAACAACGCATGTAAACGCATGGCAATGGACAGTTAACCCACGGCAACGGACAGTTAACCCATAACAACGCATGTAAACGCATGGCAACGGACAGTTAACGCATGGCAACGGACAGTTAACCCATGGCAACGGTCATATAACGCATGGCAACGGACAGTTAACCCATAACAACACATGTAAACGCATGGCAACGGACAGTTAACCCATGGCAACGGTCATATAACCCATGGCAACGGACAGTTAACCCATAACAACGCATGTAAACGCATGGCAACGGACAGTTAACCCATAACAACGCATGTAAACGCATGGCAACGGACAGGTAACCCATGGCAACGAACCGGTTACCATGGCAACGGACCGGTAACCCATGGCAACGGACCGGTTACCATGGCAACGGACCGGTAACCCATGGCAACGGACAGTTAACCCATAACAACGCATGTAAACGCATGGCAACGGACAGTTAACGCATGGCAACGGACAGTTAACCCATGGCAACGGTCATATAACGCATGGCAACGGACAGTTAACCCATAACAACACATGTAAACGCATGGCAACGGACAGTTAACCCATGGCAACGGTCATATAACCCATGGCAACGGACAGTTAACCCATAACAACGCATGTAAACGCATGGCAACGGACAGTTAACCCATAACAACGCATGTAAACGCATGGCAACGGACAGTTAACCCATAACAACACATGTAAACGCATGGCAACGGACAGTTAACCCATGGCAACGGACAGTTAACCCATGGCAACGGTCAGGTAACCCATGGCAACGAACCGGTTACCATGGCAACGGACCGGTTACCATGGCAACGGACAGTTAACCCATGGCAACGGACCGGTTACCATGGCAACGGACCGGTAACCCATGGCAACGGACAGTTAACCCATAACAACGCATGTAAACGCATGGCAACGGACAGTTAACCCATAACAACGCATGTAAACGCATGGCAACGGACAGTTAACCCATAACAACGCATGTGAACGCATGGCAAACGGACAGTTAACCCATAACAACGCATGTATACGCATGGCAACGGACAGTTAACGCATGGCAAACGGACAGTTAACCCATGACAAACGGTCATATAACCCATGGCAACGGACAGTTAACCCATAACAACACATGTAAACGCATGGCAACGGACAGTTACCATGGCAACGGTCAGGTAACCCATGGCAACGGACCGGTTACCATGGCAACGGACTGGTTACCATGGCAACGGACCGGTAACACATGGCAAACGGACCGGTTACCATGGCAACGGACCGGTAACCCATGGCAAGGACAGTTAACCCATAACAACGCATGTAACGCATGGCAACGGACAGTTAACGCATGGCAACGGACAGTTAACCCATGGCAACGGTCATATAACGCATGGCAACGGACAGTTAACCCATAACAACGCATGTAAACGCATGGCAATGGACAGTTAACCCATAACAACGGTCATATAACCCATGGCAACGGACAGTTAACCCATAACAACGCATGTAAACGCATGGCAACGGACAGTTAACCCATAACAAGGCATGTAAACGCATGGCAACGGACTGATAACCCGTGGCAACGGACAGTTAACCCATGGCAACGAACCGGTTACCATGGCAACGGACCGGTACCATGGCAACGGACGGTAACCCATGGCAACGGACCGGTTACCATGGCAACGGACCGTAACCCATGGCAACGGACAGTTAACCCATAACAACGCATGTAAACGCATGGCAACGGACAGTTAACCCATAACAACGCATGTAAACGCATGGCAACGGACAGTTAACCCATAACAACGCATGTAAACGCATGGCAACGGACAGTTAATGCATGGCAACGGACAGTTAACCCATGGCAACGGTCATATAACCCATGGCAACGGACCAGTTAACCCATAACAACGCATGTAAACGCATGGCAACGGACAGTTAACCCATAACAACGCATGTAACGCATGGCAACGGACAGTTAACCCATAACAACGCATGTAAACGCATGGCAATGGACAGTTAACCCATGGCAACGGTCATATAACGCATGGCAACGGACAGTTAACCCATAACAACGCATGTAAACGCATGGCAATGGACAGTTAACCCACGGCAACGGACAGTTAACCCATAACAACGCATGTAAACGCATGGCAACGGACAGTTAACGCATGGCAACGGACAGTTAACGCATGGCAACGGTCATATAACGCATGGCAACGGACAGTTAACCCATAACAACACATTTAAACGCATGGCAACGGACAGTTAACCCATGGCAACGGTCATATAACCCATGGCAACGGACAGTTAACCCATAACAACGCATGTAAACGCATGGCAACGGACAGTTAACCCATAACAACGCATGTAAACGCATGGCAACGGACAGTTAACCCATAACAACACATGTAAACGCATGGCAACGGACAGTTAACCCATGGCAACGGACAGTTAACCCATGGCAACGGTCAGGTAACCCATGGCAACGGACCGGTTACCATGGCAACGGACCGGTTACCATGGCAACGGACCGGTAACCCATGGCAACGGACCGGTTACCATGGCAACGGACCGGTAACCCATGGCAACGGACAGTTAACCCATAACAACGCATGTAAACGCATGGCAACGGACAGTTAACCCATAACAACGCATGTAAACGCATGGCAACGGACAGTTAACCCATAACAACGCATGTAAACGCATGGCAATGGACAGTTAACCCATGGCAACGGTCAGTTAACCCATAACAACACATGTAAACGCATGGCAACGGACAGTTAACCCATAACAACGGTCATATAACCCATGGCAACGGACAGTTAACCCATAACAACGCATGTAAACGCATGGCAACGGACAGTTAACCCATAACAACGCATGTAAACGCATGGCAACGGACAGTTAACCCATAACAACGCATGTAAACGCATGGCAACGGACAGTTAACCCATGGCAACGGACCGGTAACCCATGGCAACGGACCGGTTACCATGGCAATGGACCGGTAACCCATGGCAACGGACCGGTTACCATGGCAACGGACCGGTAACCCATGGCAACGGACAGTTAACCCATAACAACGCATGTAAACGCATGGCAACGGACAGTTAACGCATGGCAACGGACAGTTAACCCATGGCAACGGTCATATAACGCATGGCAACGGACAGTTAACCATAACAACACATGTAAACGCATGGCAACGGACAGTTAACCCATGGCAACGTCATATAACCCATGGCAACGGACAGTTAACCCATAACAACGCATGTAAACACATGGCAACGGACAGTTAACCCATAACAACGCATGTAAACGCATGGCAACGGACAGTTAACCCATAACAACACATGTAAACGCATGGCAACGGACAGTTAACCCATGGCAACGGACAGTTAACCCATGGCAACGGTCAGGTAACCCATGGCAACGGACCGTTACCATGGCAACGGACCGGTTACCATGGCAACGGACCGGTAACCCATGGCAACGGACCGGTTACCATGGCAACGGACCGGTAACCCATGGCAACGGACAGTTAACCCATAACAACGCATGTAAACGCATGGCAACGGACAGTTAACCCATAACAACACATGTAAACGCATGGCAACGGACAGTTAACCCATGGCAACGGTCTGGTAACCCATGGCAACGGACCGGTTACCATGGCAACGGACCAGTTACCATGGCAACGGACCGGTAACCCATGGCAACGGACCGGTTACCATGGCAACGGACCGGTAACCCATGGCAACGGACAGTTAACCCATAACAACGCATGTAAACGCATGGCAACGGACAGTTAACGCATGGCAACGGACAGTTAACCCATGGCAACGGTCATATAACCCATGGCAACGGACAGTTAACCCATAACAACGCATGTAAACGCATGGCAACGGACAGTTAACCAATAACAACACATGTAAACGCATGGCAACGGACAGTTAACGCATGGCAACGGACAGTTAACCCATGGCAACGGTCATATAACCCATGGCAACGGACAGTTAACCCATAACAACGCATGTAAACGCATGGCAACGGACAGTTAACGCATGGCAACTAGCAGCTGGTTCATTTGTGCTGCCCAATGCTCATGGAGTGCCGTCAGCTTCTTCAGCCAGTAAGCGCGACTCATGTCGGGGGCTGGTGCTGTCTAGCTCTTACTACTGGAGACCTTCTCTTGAATGTTTGCCACTGTGATGGTTACTGTACCTTGTTCAGGGAGTTTGCTGTGGTCTGCTCTTAGATTCACGAGCCATTGAGCATTACCGTTATGGGCTGCGTCCTTCTCCCATGTGCTTTTCCAATATTGCTCCGCCTCCAGCCTTGGTGGTGCTGTTCTCATATTGTTACATACTATTATGCAACATACTAAAGGAAAATGTATGAAGGACATGAAGACAACGTGAGATGCATAAAAAAAATCTTATAGAGCAGGTGGTCATGTTTATTTGTTTCTTATACATTCTCTTATTCCTTGAAAACAATAAACAAACTGATTCCACGTCTACAGGAAAAGGCAACATGAAGGTATGTGTCTAATAATGTAAAAATAACGTAGAAATAACCAGAAGTGTTTTCATTGACAATAGAGGAAGTCAATTTTGAGTCACAGCACAATAAAGAAAATCAACAATCTCAATAAAACTAGAGGACGGCATTGCGTATACATACTGTCAATGATAACATGATTTCTCAATAAGAAAGATCATGACAAGAGTCTGTAAACAGTGCAGAAGATATCACTTCAGTTCCATGGACCTTTATTCAATATCACAGTCCTTTCATAGTTTTGAAGTATACAATAAATTAAATTCTTATGGCTTCAGATAATATTTATAATATATATCCTATGATTAATAGCCACAGCATAGACAGACGACATATTCATCACAATTTCCTATTTGTGTTCATCAAATCTCAATTAAGAAAAAAACTCAGGTAAAATATTTTGTACAAAATCATAGACAAACAATGAAAAACAATGAGTTCAGATAGGCAGACACATTGAAAATGTGGTCAAAGGTAACAATCTGAGGTGATTTGAGGTGGGGAATTCTTGCTCATCTTTATAATTCAGTGACAAGTTCAAAGTTGTCATTTTTTGTTAGTTTTGCTCAAGAACTGCTAAAATGTTTCCATTTAATTTTTCCATTTCCATCCCTTTTAAAAGTTAACAAAGTGTGAGTGTCTTTAACCAGCTTGGACGAGACTACACTGTTTAACAAAGAATAAAGACTTGAATTCCTTTTAATGAAAAATTTGCCACTGAGCTGCATTAAAATCTGACAGAAGGCACTAGACTTATGAGCGCAGGTTAAAAGCTGATGGCTTAAGTTACACTGAACACTTTGACTATTAAGTGTAGAACGCATTGAGGAGCTAAAGGCTGCAGTGCTCCTGTGTTGTGACTGATAGACCTGGTTTTAGGGCGACCTCCTTAGGAGACATGGCTGTGTATATCTATATCAGACACAACATATCCAAGTATTTGAACAATGGCACTAGCTGGTGTTTGAAGCAGTGAAAAGGAAGCATATCAATAATCTGAGCACCATGGTTTTGTGGGGAGACTGATGTGGTCAATAAATGAAGTTTGGAAATGAAGCTAAACTGTCCTTGGTGTCTGATCCTGGAATGTAATTGTAAAAATGTCCCCTCAAGAGACACTGATAGACAGTTCAGTGGAACATCACTCTCTATCGGTGCCTCTAGACAGACTGCTGCAATTAGTCATCACCAAAAATCTGATGTCCACAACTACAAATCCACTGAGTGTTTCATCTGATCCTGGCTGCGAGTGCGGACCTGCAGCTGCCTCTCCTTACTCAGCTGTCGATGACTCTGAATGGCGATCCAGTTGCTCTGCAGGATGTTGGAAATCTGCTGTTGCCCTTGGTTTTGTCTGTGTTCCTCCTGACTCTTGGTGTGGTGTTGATAGTGCCTGTGTTGATGCTTGTTCTGGGTGTGGCGGCGTTGAAGAACAAATGTCTTATGGTAGGTTGCAGCTGAGAGCACAGATGTAGAAATTAACTAAAAGTGAGTACAGTTGAAAATACTTTACAGACCTTTAATGAAAAAGTTAGCTAAAGTACAATTAGGAGGAGACTCACGGCTTGTGCAGGTGACTTTAGGCGAGTCCCACTGGCCGTTGGCCTGGCAGCGTATAGTTGGGGTGTGTCTCTGAATGAAGCCCTGCTTACACTGATAACGGAGCAGGGTGTTGATGTCATAGCGCAATTTTGTGGCCCCAAAAACTCGGGCATCCTTCACCACAGGAGGCTGACCGCATGATACTGTTGGCAGGAGATGCAGAGTTTAATAATGTTATTCACAAACCTGTACCAATCATTTCCATTGACACTTGGGACAGTGCAGGAAACTCTAAACATAAGCAAAGCTCTACATATTTGCTGCAGTTCTGTGAGTCCCAAGGAGAAAACTACAGCTGCCCAAAACACAACAAAGGCTCATCTCAGATCGGCCAAAAACATCTTGATGATCTCCAAGACTTTTATACTTTAGACTGACTGACAAGGCAAAAGTTGGACTTTTTGGACGTTTGAGTCCCATTACATCTGGCATCAAACTAACACAGCATTTCATAAACAGAACATCAGACTACCAGTCAAACATGGTGACTGGACTTCAGTAGTGGTAACTGGACTTCATGTCATTTTTAGCTTCTGGTGTGAATAAACATGGTCTCTAATGATGTAGCCAGGTCTCCATGATTATTAACACGCAACAGTCCCAAATAGAGGAGGTAGTTTCCAGCAATAGCTCTAGTTTGTTGGTCTTCATATGCAAGATGGCTCTTCCATATGTTGAGTAATGGGGATTTAAATGGTTAGCATACTTGCTTGGTATCCCAGCTGTGCTCCCTATGCCACCTGTGCTACTTTCCAGGGTTGAGAACAAACCAGGAAGATTCTGGCAGTCTGGCTATATCTGGCATGCTGTACAACATATGACTCCCGTGGAACTCTCTAATAACTATACCCTGACACTGTAATATGATGTTCTCAACCTCCATGTGACTATAGATGTGTTAAATGGCAACTGGCACCCGTTAGACCACACACCACCATCTTTGTATTTTGTTTTTACTCTTTGTCAAAAACCAAAATTTGATTGATGATCTGAAACATGTGTCAAATATGCAAAAAAATGTGCATTTTTTAATACAATGCACAGCACTGTAAGTGAAAGATAAAGATAAGTAAAAGATAAAGACTGTACTGTGATTCTGTTGTTTAAGGTTAGAATGATCACCGAGACAAAATTAGAAGCAAAAGACAACACTTACTTTTTCATCCACACCCCATGTAAGTACTGCACTGAACAAAACAAAGCTAACGCAAAAGTACAGTTCCTCTCGTGGCCACTTGAGGCTGGCCTCTAAACCTAATCCATGTTGAAGAGTCTGGGTACAGAACACAGCTTTGGCAACTGCTGGCAATAAAACTAAACTAAATTGAAAAGACTGTTACTTGGTCTGCAGACTTAGTCTGCACAAATTAGCTAATATGTGTCTGTGTATTACACCTGCACAGTTTATGAATGCAGCTCATTCTAGGTTTACTATCCCTAGCCAATAACTTTGAAGCTAAGCTTCAAAGTTAAAGTTAAATAAAAAAGCTTCTCTAAGCTTTTTTACTTAAAGAAAGCATTCTTCCCAGTTGTCCTTTAGTCTCCAAAGAGAACACGTATGTTTTTCCATGTGCATACCTGTTCCCTTTTTGCAGGTAAATGTCAGGTGATAGTTGCAGGGCACGTCATTCCACTGTCCTCCCTCATGCCAGATCATCACCACACAGTCCTCTCCTGACTGGAAGAAGCTGTCCGGCTGGTTTGGCCTCCAATGGTCATATTGCTATCAGAAGACAAATTACAAAGGGCATTATGTTACAGACTGACTAATTAAATTAGTTTACAAAGTAATGCTGTTACATTTAAGATGGCATGTGCACTTAGCGACCAGCAATGAACAAGCGCTTAGCATCCTAAGTTTGTTTTTCTGTTTTTTTGTGTTTGTTTTTTTTCCTTTTCTAAATAAGGCCCCAGCTGTGCTGGCCTGTTTCCCATGATGCGTGTGAGGCTGTAAGCCCGCTGAGGATTGTTTACTCCCGTGAGGAGCTGCTACAACTTAACTTCTTGTATGGTGGTAAGGACCTCACCCCATGTATGCTGGGTTTTATACCAAAAGACAGAACAAGTGATAAGAGGAAGACAAAAAGAGGGAGACATGGAGGTGTTAAATTGTGTCTGAGGAGACAACAGGTCAGTCGAACTCCCCTGCCCTCTGTTATCCTGGGAAATGTTCAGTCTGTGAGCAGCAAGCTGCATGAACTCCAGCGGAACGTTAGGTTCCAGAAAGACTTCACACAGGCACAGCTGTGTGATGACTTTTTCTGAGACATGGCTGACAGAGCAGGACCAGGACGTCGATTTTTCAATTGACGGATTTGGAGCTCTCTGAGAGAGCTCAGAAAGCTCCAAATTGCCAGTCTTGGCAGCCGGGGGTCAGTCCGCCAGGGCCTCCGCTCCTGGCCGCCACCCGGCACACAATGCACCCGACCCCTATGGCGCCTCCTGCGGGTGGTGGGCCTGCGGGAGGATGGGCCCATGTCTCCTCTTTGGGCTGTGCCCGGCCGGGCCCCATGGACTAAGGCCCGGCCACCAGACGCTCGCCCTCAGGCACCCGCCCTGGGCCTGGCTCCAGGGTGGGGCCCCGGTAACCCTATCCCGGGCAGGGTAAACTGTTCCCTCGATGTTCTTTTCATAAGGGTCTTCTGAATCGCTCTTTGTCTGGTCCCTCACCCTCAGAGTAGAGCCGCTGCTGCTCCACATCGAAAGGAGCCAGCTGAGGTGGTTCGGGCATCTGACAAGGATGCCCCCTGGGCTCCTCCTGGGTGAGGTGTTCCAGGCATGTCCCACCGGGAGGAGGCCCCGGGGCAGACCCAGGACACGCTGGAGAGATAATATCTCTCGGCTGGCCTGGGAACGCCTTGGTGTTCCCCCGGATAAGCTGGAGGAGGAGGTGGCTGGGGAGAGGGAGGTCTGGGCCTCTTTGCTTAGGCTGCTTCCCCCGCGACCTGGCCTCGGATAAAGCGGATGAGGATGGATGGATGGATGGATGGATGGATGGATTTGGAGCTCCATTTCATCGGGATCAGGATGTGGGGGTAAAGGGGAAATCCCAAGGAGGGGGGAGTATGCTTGTATGTGAATAAACGTTACTATAGCGCTGTGACTGTTAGAGAGTTTATTTGCACACCAGACGTTGAACTTTTATCGGTTGCCACTGTGCCCTTTTTGCCCCCCTCATGAGTTTCCACAACTTTTCAGTACTATAGTCTATGTTCACCCGAGGGCTCACCTCTCCCCCTCCACCTCAACATTATCACAGAAGTAGGGCATAAGCTACAGGCACTTTTTTTGTTTGGTGACATGGTTCAGTCAGACCTCTGTCACAGAGAAAAAACTCATTGAATCAGATAGTGAGATGGTCCTGACAGGTGAGTCACAGCCCTGTCTAGCCTCCCTGTACTTTCAACAGATACAAAGGATGGCTTTATCAATTGTTAATAATGGCCCCCCATCCTCTATGGGGTGAATTTCAGCTTCTTTCCTCTGGACGGAGGTTTCTAGTCCCAAGTTAGCAATATAAAAACAGCTTTGTCCCTACTGGTGCTACTGTTTTATTTGATTCATCTTCATCTTATTTATATTGTTTTTTATCACGCATCTAATTATCAAATATGTGTTTGTCAGGTTTAATGGGTGTGTGTGTGCTTTGTGAGTGGATGCCAAATGCTATCATTTTTTTATGTAAAGCAAATTTACCTAGGGATAGAAATAAAGTAATCTTGAACCTTGAACTGCAAATTTAGCAAAAACATACATTACTGGCCAAATATTTTAGGTACTTGTGATCTTAGTTGTGATTTAAGCACCTTTCCTGTTCTCGGAAAATGCACAGGAAAAAACAAATTCAATTCAGGTTTATTTATATAGGGTCAAATCACACTTAAAAAAACAAGATCATTTGGGGGGATTTTTAACCTGTCAGCCTGACACTGTGTGGACACCAAGGTTTGTAAATAAGAGAACTTGAAAATGAGTTGTATCTGCTAAAAATCTACAAGTTAGAATCTTAGTGGCCTCAAACTCAAATTCGAAGTCAGGTTTTCTGAAAAACTTGTCAATGCGATAACTCAAAAATTAGGTAATGTAGGATTTTGAAACTGCTGGATGGTTAAGGGGCAGCACTGGCTGTTGCCAGTATTTTTCTCATTAATGTCCTCTTTACGATCGTAGCTACTGATAGCTGTATCTACTTATGGACAACTTATGGACAATATCTCTTTTGTGAATATAGACTATGAAGTCCCCACCTATCCTCTTCAGAAGGCAGTCAATACTCATCACATGTGACTGGATGTAATTCATAAAATATACAGACAGTGGTGCTGCAGAGACAAAAAACAACAGGCCTAAACAAACCCAAGGTTGTGTGGCCTTATATACCAGACGAAATACACAAAAAGTTCATTTTTGTTCATTTTATACTGTATATCTACTGCACGCACTTAACATGGTGTATGGCTCCGATTTGACCCCATTCAGGGTGTGTCTGTATTAAGAATGATAACACATGACACAGTCCTCCCTCTTCAGGATCAGATTTCAATTTTCTTGCTCTGAGTTTCCAGCAGATGAACCATGTGTTTGAGATTGTGTCATCACTGCCTACAACTGCTACATCACATGAACATTTTGCCCCGAATAAGGTTTATTGCCAATTTAAATTCAATTCAATTTTATTTATATATCACCAAAGGTGCTTTATATTAAAAGGTAAAGACTACAATAATATAGAGAAACCCCAACAATCAGATGCCCCTTTATGAGCAAGTGCTTTAGCAACAGTGGGAAGGAAAAACTCTCTTTTAATAGGAAAAATCCTCCACCAGGACCAGATTCAGGGAAGGGTGGCCAGAGTAGTAATAATAACTAATGCAAAATGGTTTATAAACACATAGTGAGTGATAAAAGATCAGTGAAGAAGAAACGCTCAGTGCATGATGAGAAGCCCCATAGTAGCCTGAATCTTCTCTTAGCTGTGGGATAACTTTGGCGGGTTCAGGGTCAACTGAGCCAAACTTCACTATATGCTTTGTCAAAAAGGAAAGTTTTAAGCCTAATGTTAAAAGTGTCTGTCTCCCGAATCCAAACTAGATGCTGGTTCCACAGAAGAGGGGCCTGAAAGCTCAACACTCTGTCTCCTATTCTACTTTAAATATCCACAAGACAGCTGCCTGAGAGCAAAGTGCTCTAATGGGGTGATATGGTACTATAACGGTCTTTAAGATAAGATGGAGCCTGATTATACAAGACCTTGTATATGAGGAGCAGGATTTTAAATTTGATTCTGGATCTACAAGGGAGCCAATGAAGGGAAGCAAATATAGGAGAAATATGCTCTCACTTTCTAGTCCCTGTCAGTAGCCTTGTTGCCACGCTGAAGGCTTTTCAGGGAGTTTTTAGGGCCTCCTGATAATAACGAATTACAGTAGTCCAGCATAGAAGTAATAAATGCATGAACTAGATTTTCAGCATCACTTTGAAACAGGATGTTTCAAATTTTAGAGATACTGCGCAAATGGAAGAAAGCAGTCCTGCAAAGTTGCTTAATATGCGCATTGAAGTACATATGCTGGTCAAAAATGACTCCAAGAATTCTCACAGTGGAGGCCAAGGTAATGGCATCTAGTGTAAGTGTAAGATATCATATTTCTAAGATATTTATGGCCGAGTAAAATAACATCAGTTTTATCTGAATTTAGAAGAAGGAAATTAATCATCCACATCATTATATCTTTAAGATATAATCTCTATTCCTAGAGATTAACTCAAGTGATCTTAACCCAGCTTTTTAAGTAGCTTTTTAAGTAGTGGTTTAATTACTGCCAGCTTGAACGCCTGTGGGACATAACCCATTAAAAGAGAGAGGCTGATGATATTTAAGATTGAAATCTTACTGCACCTGGTATTCCCAGATTGTACTGTACTAACCAGAGATCAGGCATGCTCAGAGTGGTACAGCAGCAAGTTAAATATAGCAACAGGTCGTAAACTTGACTGAGGATAAAATCAGCAACTTAGAGATGCAGAAGTAAAGATGGGCAGAGGTTCCCCAATCTGCAAAAAAAAAAAACCCACACACACACAAAAAAACTGTCTACTAATTGTGGAACATTTTCTGAATAATTTTCTTCAATGAAGAAAAAAAGTAGGCCTCAATATTTCATCAGCTACAGTTCATAATATCATCATCTCTGCCTTCACGGGACAAGGCTGAAAATCAATCTGGGCCCTCAGGTGGCACAGCATTAAAAACAGGCATGATTCTGTCATTGGACTCGTGTTTTTTGAAGTCAAACAACATTCTGAAAGGTACAGTGTCTGAGAACATCTGAACCCCAACATATTTTCCACTGAAAATCAAAGAAATCTACCTGAACCTGTAGGCTCCATAACAGATTAGCAAACCACGTCTGGTTCTACTTGCACAGTAGAATGAATAAGAATATCAAAAATGAATAAAGATCATGGAATGAATCTTGAGGCCCAATCTGGCCCAAGTCCAGTTTGGTTCCAGTCATTCCCCACTTCATCTGGTTCTGATCTATTTTGGATTCGTTCATGTAAAATGGTTCATCTTGAAACTGTACTGAAATAAGCCTGACTAATGTAGATAGTAGACAGCTCCCTAAGAGTCGAGACATTTCTTGTAACGTGTTTGCTCTACATTTATTAAAGACTTGGAAAGCTGCCATGTGTTTTTCTTTCTTTCAGTTAAATGTGAAACTATTATACTCTGGCTATTAACAGTACCTTAATAAAACACCTCTGCTACTGCTATATGAGAGCCATCATGTATCATTGAAGGCTGATTTTAAATCAAATTGCAAATGGTTACACTGGGGAACAATATGGTAAATGGCCTGTATAGCGCTTTACTAGTCCCTAAGGACCCCAAAGTGCTTTACACATACAGTCATCCACACATTCACACACTGGTGATGGCAAGCTACATTGTAGCCACAGCCACTCTGGGGCACACTGACAGAGGCGAGGCTGCCAGACACTGGCGCCACCGGGCCCTCTGACCACCACCAGTAGGCAACGGGTGAAGTGTCTTGCGCAAGGACACAACGACCGAGACTGTCCGAGCCGGGGCTCGAACCGGCAACCTTCCGATTACAAGGCGAACTCCCAACTCTTGAGTCACGATCGCCCCACGATCAATAATCATTGATGTCTGTAAATCTAACTATATCCATAGCCACTTATCTTATCAATAGTGCTTATCTTACCATTGGTCTGCCATCAGTCCATCTGAAGTCTCTCTCAAACATCTTATCATTCAGGCTAATCCACTGGTAGTCACTTCCTAGATCTGCAGGGAAAAAGCACGATGCAGTGAGTCCGAGATCATTTTACCGAAGCAGAACCTGATCAATACCAAACAAAGCATTTTGGAGAGGAGTGTAAACAGACAACAAAGAATTATGGTGAAGCACCGTTGAGCTCAGTGTCAGTAGCTTCACCAGAGTTTACTTGCAGCTCCATCACTATTCTCAGACTGATTTCTGTAGTAGAGCAGTGACTGCAAATCGTGTAGCATTTGCTTGCGTTTTCAAATTTGGTAAAATTATTATTTATCATCAAAGTTTCATTGCTTGCTTGTTTGTTTTTTTACATACATTCGTTGTGAATGAAACCCAAAGACATGTTGAAATCAATGCAATCAAATAACAAAGCAGCTACTCAAAATGTAACTAATGTTTTAGGTAGCCATTTCTACTGTATTTTCAAAAATATGATCAGATTTAGTTTTAGACCATCCAACCAAAAGTAGTCTGGACGAGTGGTTGACCACAAACAACAAAGTTGTGCTGCTAGCATGGCCAAAAACTGTTTCATTTATGATATGCATTTTTAGTATTTGTACCCCGAAGGACTTTTTCACAGACTCTCTAGACCCATAATTCCTTATACTGTCGACTGATAGTATAAGGAACATTTTAGACACCTCATCGAAACAACACAAACTTACTATTGACAAAAATTTGCTCCTCATGCGACAGGATGCTGGTCAGGTGGGCTCCGTGTATCCGACATTCCCTCTCTGCAGCGTCCCAGGTCCGACGGTGTGTAAAGTGCTTGTAGCAGTGAGATTGAAACTTCTTCCAACCAAAACCACACATCTCAATGTCTGCAGAAAGAGAAAAACAAAATGTGAAAGAACCATCAAACGAGGTGGAAAAAATATTTCATATGATATACACTTTATCTTGACTTCTTGTGTTGGTGCAGAATTAAAAATGTGGTATGTATGTGGCTATATCATAACTAATGACAAGTCCCTACTTATCTTTAAGGCAATAAAACAAAATCCACATACTGAAATATCAAATTTAGGACATGCCAGGAGCTTCGGTTAACAACTACATCAAATAGGCTCTCAGAATGTTTGTTTCTACTGTCATTAACTATGAACAGGTTCACTGAAACTGCACTCCTGAAGACTTAAAACCATAGCCATGTTTGATAAAGCTACATTTAATCTGGCGGCAGATGCCGTGCTTGCAATCTGAATGTCAACCTGCCTGTATCCGAGGGATGCCCTTCTATTAGATTAACAGGTAAGAGACTTATCCTACACACCTACAGCCAGTCTAGAATCTTCAATTCACCAAACGTTGTGCATTTCGTAGGACTAAACTCCAAGGACTTAGCTTTAATATACAGATGTTACAATAGAAATTAACACCATAGGTTAACCCAAAAAACTGTGAACCACTGTTGTGATAGCCAGTATCTCTGACTAGGGTTCTTGGTTTTATTAGGCCAGCTAACAAAGACTATGTACACCTGTTTCATAGTACACCTCTCATTTCTGAATTAAATACCACGTTCTGACTGATTATTGTGACAGATCACCTGAATCCCTTTTGGCATCTTTTAACAGCTACTTTCATCAGGATAATGCAGAAAGAAATTGTTTGGCAAATCAATTTAATGAAGAAAATTAATTTAGTGGCTTTCAGTGGCCTTCTGAGCAACTAGATCACTGACTGGAAATAAAATGTTAGATAGTGACTTCAGCTTTGGTTGGTGAGGTCGCATTGTAAAGCCTTGAGCTGAGCACGTTCTTTTGGTGTTATAAAACCAGGTTTGACACTGCATGCCTTATCACAGCTTATCACGTGGTAGTGTCAGTCAAAAGCAAACTAATCCAAGTCACCTCTCCTTGTGATGGATGGATCCTAGTGTATTCAATAACACTTAAAAGCTGTGACTGAGATCTTAAACTAATCAATAAAGTGTTTACCAAGATCACAACTCAAAGGAGGAAAAGACTTCTATAGAACCTGTCACAGTATGCGGCACCACACTGTATGAATTTGCGAAGAGGACCCAAAATATAGACACCAACGAACTTGGACCAAAACTTGAATATTAACAAAAGGCGAGCGGGAAGTGGAAGCACAGGAGGAAACAGCTGCCACTAATCTGACATAACGAGACAAAAGAAGCAAAACTGACTACACTGACATAGGACATAGACCTTCAAAATAAAACAGGAAACTGAACGGAAAGCAGACATGACAATACAACTTCACAACAAGGACAAGAAGACAAGAAACATGACAGACTAACACCGAAGACCTAAGTGAAACATAAATAAACTAAAGGCAACCAAAAGATAATCCAATTACTCAACATAATAAAGGAATAACTTAAGAACTCAAAACGTAAACTGAAAACGCTGGGTCAGAGACCCAGGATCGTGACAGAACCAACCTTTTTGCTCTTGCAGACATCACCATTAGAAAGACCACAGGTGCAAATCAGTGTTTATACAGTATGGTCTATGGACCTGATACTACACAGGTTCTGATACAGCAGGACAGCAGCACTAATTTGACGATGAAAATAAAAACCGTATAAACTAAACAAACATAGTGGCAGAACACACAAAACTGAGAGAGATCATGACAATGAGCAGAGGCAAACAAGGGAACAGACCACAGGTGGGGATCGAGCTGAACATAGTCTAACTAACGAGACGGGGAACGAAAACAGAACATGCTGCAAACAGGACAGAAGACTATCAAAGTAAAACAGGAAGTATGAGAAACACACTGAGATGCAGACTGACTAAATACAAGGAACAGAGGGAGCAAGAGACAGAGGCACCACTGGGAAAGAAGCGAATAAACATGGAGACGGAGGCGAGACTATGGAGACACCGAACAAGGGATAGAACTTAAAATACATAACAGACATGGACTACACACGGAGGCATAACCGAGAAACAGACAAATTGAGCATTGAGACAGGACTGATTTCAAAGAGGGATACGACTACCGGAAACTAGACACAATATGACAGGAGGAGGGAAAATGTAAGGCTAGATAACAAATGAAAACCTAGCAATCAAAACTATAACAACCAAAACTAGGATCATGACAATAAAGAGCTGAAGCTGTCTGAGAGCAAAGGGAAGCTTCAACCAGCATTAGTATGCGGTTTCTACTAAACAGACTGTAAGACACAATATCTCTTACTATGAATAAGTGCCTTTTTTCAAACTTCATGTGGCATATTCAAGAAAATGTTTAGACTTTGCTGCTTCGTAACCACATTTTACCCACTCCTTAGGTGTTAATGTGTAGCTAATCGAACTTCTGTCTAAAAGTAGCTATACTACATTTCCCTGGTTGCCTATCACTGCCTTCTAGTACACTTCATAATCTGGAATCAGATTTTCATTTGTTGATGAAGTTACATGTTGTTTTGGAAACATGCTGTTGTAACGGTGAAGCTAACAGCAACACAACAGCTCTGAATTTTATTTCTGTGCTCTGGCCAGAGACGGTGAGAGAGAAAGAGAGGCACAGAGAGAGCTGAGGTCCAGCTGGGGAGTGAAAGCCCCTCACTGAATGAGCTCAGCAACACACAGTTGGACTTCATTAAGTCTCACAAACATCCAGTTGTCTGCAGGTCAAGCACACAGAGACACACACAAAGAGCTCATGTATAACACACATTCAACTTCATATACAAGTCACATAATCAGCCCTTTGCTTTGTCTGACCATACAAACAATGGCTGTTTTGTATCAGTGGCACCAGAATTATACATGCCAGTAAAGTCATGATGGACAGTATCTGTCGAGTCTTTTAAGGTAGTAGCCATCATCAACTGACCTCATTTTAATCCTGCCTCTGTGCAGCTACCTGGAATGAAAGGTGAGGTCTCTAATGAATGCAGCACTATAAGCCACAGCTCTCTGTCTGCCAGTTTGAAATTAGCAGAGTGGTCAGTTGAGTATGAAACATAGCATCACTCAGCATCACCCAGGATATTAAGCCCAGCCTGAAAAAACTGAAGCAGTATTGTCAGTATTGATTCAATTCCACACGCAGCTGCAAAAGCTTTCTGGAAAAATAGAGGGCAATTATTTTTCTTCCCTCATTCTTTCCATTGGCAAAAAGCTGCAAGAGGACAGCTGTGTCCCTGATTTTTGAACTCTTGCATATACTAGGAAGGAAAAATAAGCAGTAAACAGTCCATAATTTATGTCTGAGTGTCTACATTTAGCTTTACACACTGTATTCATCATTCAAATAGATACGCCCTGCAAACTGGGAATTCTTATAGCACCAATGTCTCTATTTTTTCCACAAGACCCCAACAATGCTGACTTGGATAAGCAGAACAAAATGCAAATTTCCTCAGGAGTGTAGGTACCACAATATTAAGCGCAAAGGATGTTTGGAAGAAAGCCGCTTCTCTCCAAAAAGATGATGTTGGCATGGCTTAGCTTTGCAGAGCTAAATTTGAACAACAAAACCAAAATGGAGATGTTTGACCATAATAAGAGCAGCATGTTTGGAGTAAACCAAACAGCCTAAACACCTCAGACCAACTGTCAGCACAGTGGTGGAGCGATGATGATTTGAGCACCTTGCAGTCACTGAGTGGAGCATCTTCTGCTTGGCACACACCCTTCTCCAGGTCCCAGTGTCACTGAACTAGCGAGTGGAGTGGCACACCACACTACACCTCCGCTACATTTTTGTTAAATAAATAATAGCACATAATATGTAATTTGTTCTTGTTCATCTGTGGTTGTATTTAACTCATTTCAAGACTTGCTAAGGACCAAATAACTTTTTAAATATCCTGATATATACTGTGAAACCTCAGAATTGACAGATCCAGTTGTTGTACTTTTATTCTACAATGACTGCATATGAATACATTAAGTAGTGTATAATGTATGACTCCAAACCATTAATAGACTGAGTAAAATAATTTAAGCAAGCAAATAAAAGCGGAATTTAGTTAAATGGCTTCTTATCATGACTACATGATACAAAAGAAAAACTATGGGGCCTCATTCTGAAACCAAACATTTTGCTCAGAGCAGCAGAAAAAAAAACTGTTGCTGCTGAGAACTGTTTCCTTGTTTGGAAAATATTAATCCTCGGAGTCCTCTTGTGTGCCTGAGTTTTGATTATCTGCTGAGTAACGGCAAAAATATTAGTCCTACGGCTGGAACTCATCTGTTGAAGAGCCAACGCCCAAAGCTGAATGATGGCCCAAAGACCCAAACTCTGCAGTAAGTTCAGACTTACTTGAAAAGAATATATCTGAGAACTGACTTCCATAGATGAATGATTTTGACACAGTTGCTTATTAATTCTGTTTCCTGACCTTGTTCACAGAACTCTCCTTTGTAGCTCGGGAGGCAGAGACAGGTGAAGGAGTTGATCCCATCCAGGCAAGTGGCTCCATTCAGACACGGGTTAGACTGGCACTCATCAATATCTTCAGACATGCAACACAGACCAGCATTATTATACATCCACCTGTCAGGAAGGGTCAGGATGGCTTGTTAAAAGAGCACACCTGGCTCTGAGGCTCTCTGTACCTGTTTCACAGTGCCACCCGGTGTATCCAGGTGCACAGATGCAGACATTTTGTGGTCCTTTCTTGTAGCACGAGCCTCCGTTCTGACACACATTGGTTGAGCATGGCAGGAGATCTGCCAAGGAGACAATGAGAATGGAAAACGATTAAAATCATCAACATCACTAAGAGCGGTGAAACGTACTGCAGTTCAGAAAGGCTTTGCAACTCCTTATTGGCACAGCAGGGCTGTCCACGTTTGTGGTAATAGACACTCGGTTTGTTGGTGGGCTGACCTGCTCATATTAAAATATATCAGAAAATTCAACATCTGCACAAATGTTTACAAGGAACCTTCAATTGCAAACAGGACAGGCTTTTATCCTGCTGTGAATTTTTAATGCATATATTTGTAGAACCTCTCCATCTTCTAGAAAAGCGAGGCCAACAAGGGACAACTTAAATACACTGTTGCTACAAATCACATAGGCAAACCTGGAAGCTAAATGCTAAATGCTGCTTAGCCCTGCGACAGACTGGCGACCTGTCCAGTGTGTACCCTGCCTCTTGCCCTAAGAGAGCTGGGATAAGCTGCAGCCACCCTGAAAAAGGTAAGCACAAGAGAATAAATGGATAAATAAAACTAAATTGAATGTCTTGGGTTCAAGACTCTGCATTTTTAAGCTGGATTTGGTCACTTCTGGTTTGAAAAACATCACACAATGCCAAAATGTTCGTTTTGTGAAGCCATGAAGTAACCGCATTTGAACAAGCAGGTGGACTAACATGTCAGCTAAGGACAGTAAGGTCAGCTCACGGATCTGACAGTACATTATTTGTCGTATAATTTCATTAAAACTGCTAGGTCAGGCCTACCAGACACCTGCTAGCTACCTCACATCTGACTGAAATCATCATGCCCCTAAAGTTTTACAAATCCATGAGGGTGTGTTAACAATGGGTGAGTTGTTATGAAGGTGGAAACTATGTAATAATTTTTTGTGAGCAGCTATTAAGCTGTCTATTTAATACTTGATGTGCAAAGGGAAAACCTTGTATTTGGGAACTTTAAAAGTGTATTACAGACTTTTGATAGCACAAGTGGGTATTACCATTGAAAAAGCATGTTCTATCCCTTTTAACTACGGCAGAAGGCTGAGAGAGGGCTCAGCTCAAACATTATAGCTGCTGCCAAAACTGGCAAAAATGTTAAGCAGGGGAATGAAACCAAGCTGCTGTGCTGTTTAAAACAACTGAAGCAGCTATGAACCAAACCAACAACAACAGAGTTCATGTACCTGTAATGTTTATAGTGCTGGTCATGACTGAATAAGTTGTGTCCGAGCTGGTCTCAGGTTGAACTGTGGCCACTGTCTGTTCAGGCATCTGAGGTTGGGACTCCACAAAAAAGGGGGTGATGTCTTTATCATTGTCTACAAACTTCTCCTCTGCTACAGCAGTGGCAGCCGGGTCAGGGAACAGAGCCCGCTGGGGGACAGAATAGCTTTTTTGCTCAGAAGTATAAAAGGGTGAAGTAGTGGAGAGTGTGGTCTGGTCTATGTTCTCCATGGTGGACAGGTCAGCATGTTCTCTGTAAAACTGAGCGTGGATGTCAGAGGAGGCAGACGGAGACTCAGTAGCGACAGCTGGATGGCTCTTATTTTCAAAGGAGGGATGGGTAAAGGGTTTAAGTTTGCTCATTTCTGCAGTTGTGCTCTTTACATTGGTGAAGGTCACAGCTGCCATGGCTGGTGAAACAGTAATAGCGACTTCTCTGAAAAGTTCCCCAGAAGCTCCCTCCTCATCAGACAGCTGGTCTGCACCAGAGTCTGGGTCTGTAACTGCAACATCACCTGATGAAACTCCAAGCACATCTGCGATTTCTGTAGGTACTGCAGGTGAAGGCTGTTGGGTATAAAGGTCATTTGAAATCATAGTGCTAAGCATGGTGCTAAGACTGGGTGTGTCTGACGGGTATACATCTTGACCTGAAGCCTCATCTTCTCCAGAGGAAGACCCTTCAAAGTCCCCAGTCTGGGCCTGCTCAGTGGTTTCCTGTGACTTTGTGTCTGGGATAAAAGTCACAACCTCTGTTCCTCCGATTTCTGTCTCATCAGTCCTCGCATCCAACTGGTGTCCGGTAGCCAGGGTGGGTATAGCACCATCTGTAGAGCCCTCCTGCATACTGCCAACCTCATCGTCTGTGGAGTTGCTTGCAGAGCCTTCCATGTCCTCATCAGTTAAGGCAACATGAGCAACATCCTTGGAAACACCAAGCAGGACTGGAGTTGATATTGTAGAGACAGGGGGAGTGTATGTGGTTGAGACTGCTGTTTCATGTGGTTCTTGAGTGTTGACTCTCATGGCATCTGTAAAAACATAAGAAACTGTGTCTGCATCCAGGCCTGAGACTGCAACATCATCTGGGTATACAGCTTGAAGATAAATGCTCTTGTCCGTGGTTTCCTGTGGAAATATCTCCCCGGTTCCAGTTTCGAAGGTAAAGGGAGTCGTGCTGATGTCTTCTTCCTCCTCTACTTCTGTCTCATTCACATTTCCAGGAGTGGCCGTCTCAAACTGATCTCCTCTGGCCTCCTCTGGCTGCTGTGGTTCAGGTGTTACCTGGATGGATTGAAACAAATTGGCTATTTTTAACAAATGAGAAAGAATGACAAAGAGCCAGTAGCTTGACTCAGACCAGATTAGACTATTTTACACATTCACGGAGAGGGCGTCTGGTTGAATGATTTGAATGAATTAGTTTGCTGAAGACACAGCTGTGTTTACTAGTAGTGATAGAAAAAAATGGGAGAACACACAAACACAGACATATATTGGAGGATTAAACTAGAATTATTTAGTAGACATATCAGTGTATAGAAAGTACCTCATGTTTTCCATTGAAAAAGCTGAGTATTTGTGCCATATCAATCGGAGGCACCTCAAGGGAAGTGATCTCCCCGCTGCCCTGGATACCTTTACTGGTCACAGGCTGCTTCAGGAGGTCCACGAGACGTTTCACTAGAGGCAGATGATAAGCAGCCATATAACACATCAAGGCAAAAAACAAAAAAAGAAAAGAAAAACAAGCAACAAGTGTTATGATTTTATTCCTTACTTAAAGTGCAATGTCAGTACCAGGCCACAGCCTCTTGGGAAAAATCAAATAAATCACCATACAGCCTCTATGTTAAAATGACTAACTTTAGAGCAAATTTAAAATGGTTTGCAGCCTGGTAGAAAAGTTTTGCTTATTATAATTAAACTAGATCATCATGGTATTGTAGCATAAAGTCATGTATAATGAAGGCCTCAGAAACACAGGTCTAGAGACGGGTCAGTCATGAACTAGCAACCAGCAGTTGAGAGGAAAAACACATGTTCCTAGACAGGTTGCTGGCAGTTTATGTGAAACTGATTGCTAAAGCCCCACTCACACTGGCTAAAGATCAGTCAGTGATCCCGAACAACAGGTGACATTCTGGTGGTTTCGTCGTAGTTAAGTGTGCTCTTGAGCGAGGGAATCACAGACAGCAGAAAAAAAGATGGATGTATCCACCACAACATCATATGTTGTTATGTTAAGTTCTGTTATAATGCCTCAAGCTAGACATTTTTGCTGCCTTAAACTTTTAAAACTCAAGACCAAGGGTCAGATTTGACTGTGATACTGACAGACATGCAGTTATAGTTAGAATCAAGGTAGCCAGTTTTAAAGCATATCTTGCTTACTAAGCTTTAAAAATCAATGTGATCGAGACCATAGACTCATCAGAAGAGTTTGTACTACATTCACAAAATCCAGCCAGGGTGGCTTCACCACAGACTACAATACATTCGGAAATCTTGGTTTGCCATCAGAATCCAAGCTTAAAGGCTTCACTTCGAAGACACACTAGCTATGGTGATCTTTTCATCGTAAACCTGCAGAGGTTTTTATATTTTTAATTTTTTAATATTCCTGATGACGTTTCTTCACCTTAACATCAGTAAAGCATTTGAAAGCAGAGCTTTTGCATTGTGGTACTGCAACTTCAGTGAAGGATCTAAGATCTTACAGCTCTGGCAAAAACCCACAGTAGCGCATTTCTGATATTTGTTAAAATGAGCCGAAGAGCATATTTGGATGGTTAACAGTTAAAAGTCTGAGTTTCCTATAATTAAGGTCAGTCTGTGCCAGCGGCTTCTCTCAAACAATGCATGCTTGTGTCTCTTCATTAAGACCTAGTGGTACACATGGAAGCTATACAGAGGGGAAGCAGAGTATGCAAATGTATATAGAGTCATAACAGAGAACTTACAGACCTTAAATTGTCTAAATATGTACAAAACTTCAGCAGAAAAAAACAGTTGACCAAGAAGCATGCTGTTACTGTTAAGTGACTAGTTAATTGGTCCATGTCAGCCTCTGTGTCACTCTGAACTTGACACCACATGAAGAAGTCATTCTTCATTGTAACACTCAATGGTTCAACTTTCCTAATTTCCTGAGGATATGAACTGAGAGTTGGAGGGCCTCATGTGATGGTATATTACACATGTAACAGAACAGGCCTTCATCATTTTAATAACAAACACAACTTCTGGAAGATGGTACCACTTGGCTAAGGGTAGCAAACACATATGCACTGTAATCTGAATCAATGATTATTAGGCTCTGGGCAGACAGGGCCTCTCTCTTGTCAAGTGCTATTAACCATTTCCAGGCACAAAATATGCCAAAACAAAGATCTGAGCAAGCTGGTGAAAATACAGTGTCTTTGTTTTACTGCTGTAAACACCACTGCATTCACTGCAAATCACGCCCTACATCTCACATTTGTCAGCAAGTGATTTTAATTTTTTAATTATAAATATGTACTTTTGATATGGTTGTAATTCGAACGGAGAAATTTCTCTTCTCTCTAGAGAACCTAGATTAAAGACACAACACAGGACCTACTGTGGCCATATCCAGCCTAATCAGAAGGGGGAAAAATAACATGACTGCGTGCCAGTTCTTGGTTAGCCTGTTTAATGTAATCAAACATTGGTGGTAATGGTGCTAATTCAAACGAATTAAGAGAAAATGAAGTGTAGAATATAGGGATTGTTTGAGAACTTGTTAATTTTAGCAACTCAAACTGCTCCCTGGAGAAAAGATTATTACAGTCCAGTATTTGTGGTTTGTTGGCAACTCTTTGTGCAGAAATCCTGATGGGAAAGTTGAAGACCAAACTCTGTAGGCATGTCTAAAGCCAGCAGACTAATCACTCCATCAGACCTCCACTGTCTCTTTGCGTGTGAGTGAAAAGAAAGTGTTCAGAAAGACTGTTGATATACAGTGTTTGTCTTTTGCCGAACCCATCCTGTTTTTTCCAGTGCTGTGGTGTGTTTACAGTGTGTTTAACTACAAACTGGCTGCACAGCAATGACTGACTTCATTTCCACATCTGGCTCTACAAATACAGCATGTTTTGTGTGAAATGTGTGAGCATATAAAAAAAAGGTTGCACACCATGAGCTGTGTCCTTTGCCATTTTACACATGAAGTTCTTACTACAAATTGTTGATAGAATTGGGTCAGTCTACAGTTTGTTCCAGTGTTATTTCACTGCTGCAATGGATGCTGCCTCGGTATAACATGCAGTAGACAGGAGAGCCACTTGCAAGGTGCTGTTATCGCATTTCACCCCAATTGGTCGTGACAGATGGCCGCCCCTCCCTGAGCCTGGTTCTGTTGTTCTGGGTTTTTTCCCTGTATGTATTATTTTAGGGTCTACCTTACGACATAAAGCCTTGAGGCAATTAATGTTGTGATTTGACGCTGTATAAATACCATTGAATTGAATTATCTGCACTGTTATCACAGTGCTGCAAATCAGTGTGCTTACATTCAAGATTTCTCAATCATTTTAAAGCTGTGTTAACACTTATGTTTATACATAAACCTCTTTAGACTAGTATTTAGACAAGTTCAAGGCTGTGGTGTATGTGGCTCCACTGAGACAACAAAATCAGCTGTTCTTCAGTCCTTGACAGCACAACATAACAAACATAAAGTAATTCCCAAGATAAATGTTCTCAGCCAAAGCCTTTTACAAGATTCAGGAGGGCACATTGCACCACATGTTAGATAATAATCTTTTTATTGCCAATGGTGAAATATTCCCACTCTGGAGGTCTACCTCTACAGCCCCCATACTGGGGGCTTTAAATGCCTGCTGGCTTCCAGTTAATATGTTCTGTCGTGGGATAGATTATTATTTAAATCACGCCAAGAAAAAAAGACATGTTTTGGCATGGACATATGTGTGTTTTTGTCATCATACTTCTCCTTCTTTCTAGAGAACGATGCTTACATGACATGCTAACATGTACTTATTATTTTTGCCAGTACTTCCAACCAAATTTTCAACACAGTACTGGCATCTATATGCCATTTCTCTTAATGCTTTCCAGGGCCTAACAGTATGACTTAAATTACTACATGACTTATTTAACACCCCACCCCACCCAGCTCACCTGATTCTGACTCATTGGTGCTTTGCACATTGACAATGATGAGATGGATAGGAGGTTTTGCTGATGCCGTCTCAGGAATGTCCAGAGACTTCTCATGGTCAAATATCGTTTGAGCTCTAATGGTGTAATCCTCTTTGAAAACAACTGCAGGTTGTTCCCCCACTTCAGTAGTCCCAGCTGCAATGTCTGGCTTTGGTGTAAGGATCTCTGATGGAACTGGGTGTGCAGCGGCGTCTTCAACTGATGACGTTTCAACCCGTGCACTGATGTCCTGAAGTTTACTAGGCCTTGATGTGATCTCCGGGGTTGCTGTTGCTCCTACCTCAGACCCACCAGAGTTGCCCTGGCTGCTGCTTTCTTCCCCTCTGCCACTGGTCTCACCCCTGCCTGGTCCTGCCTGATCTAATTGGGAGATGTCCAGACGTGGAGGCTGAGTGCGGGAGGTGGGTAATGGAGGCAGCTGCAAGATATCTCCTGATACAAGCTCTTGTGAAGTGGTAGTAAGAGTTGCTGAGGCTGTGGTGTGTGTAGAAGTAAGTGGGCTGTCTGTGGGTGAATGTCCAACAGGTTCTGGTCCTTTTCCTTGGATTTCAGCTCTTTCAACGTGTGAAGCTATTGTTGCATGGGGACTATATGTAGGGATGTCAGGTTTGTACACAATTGGAGTCATCAGGGAACTCGTAGTTGTTGGCTCTTCCAGTCTAACTGTAAAAGAGGGGAACACAGGAGCAAGACAAGAATTTAGAAGTGGGTCCTACAAAGAGCTCGGCAGTTAAGAAGTGCTGCCCAACTGCAACTCTGTTAATGAAAAAGGCATAATTTTTTCTTAGTCACTACAAAAAAAATAATTGCAAAACACATAATACTAATGTAAGGAAGCAACATTTTCACTAAAACTAGCCATATTCACAAGTCTTTCTTTATATCAAATGTGGTGGCAGCAAGAGGCGCTCCCTACTGGTTTGAATCACTGCAAGGGCCTAACAACACCAGTGCTGTCAGTGCAATCATTCTCATTTCCTCCTTTCTTTCTTTTCCATTTGTCCATGTTATTGTCAGTCATTCAGAAACAAATGCTAGGAAGGAAGAAGTGTTAGTGATCAACGTAGCAGTGCGTTACAAATGAGTATTTGCGAAAATCCTATTGTAAAGCTGACATATACAGGGAGTGCAGAATTATTAGGCAAATGAGTATTTTGTCCACATCATCCTCTTCATGCATGTTGTCTTACTCCAAGCTTTATAGGCTCCAAAGCCTACTACCAATTAAGCATATTAGGTGATGTGCATCTCTGTAATGAGAAGGGGTGTGGTCTAATGACATCAACACCCTGTATCAGGTGTGCATAATTATTAGGCAACTTCCTTTCCTTTGGCAAAATGGGTCAAAAGAAGGACTTGGCAGGCTCAGAAAAGTCAAAAATAGTGAGATATCTTGCAGAGGGATGCAGCAGTCTCAAAATTGCAAAGCTTCTGAAGCGTGATCATCGAACAATCAAGCGTTTCATTCAAAATAGTCAACAGGGTCGCAAGAAGCGTGTGGAAAAACCAAGGCGCAAAATAACTGCCCATGAACTGAGAAAAGTCAAGCGTGCAGCTGCCAAGATGCCACTTGCCACCAGTTTGGCCATATTTCAGAGCTGCAACATCACTGGAGTGCCCAAAAGCACAAGGTGTGCAATACTCAGAGACATGGCCAAGGTAAGAAAGGCTGAAAGACAACCACCACTGAACAAGACACACAAGCTGAAACGTCAAGACTGGGCCAAGAAATATCTCAAGACTGGTTTTTCTAAGGTTTTATGGACTGATGAAATGAGAGTGAGTCTTGATGGGCCAGATGGATGGGCCCGTGGCTGGATTGGTAAAGGGCAGAGAGCTCCAGTCCGACTCAGACGCCAGCAAGGTGGAGGTGGAGTACTGGTTTGGGCTGGTATCATCAAAGATGAGCTTGTGGGGCCTTTTCGGGTTGAGGATGGAGTCAAGCTCAACTCCCAGTCCTACTGCCAGTTTCTGGAAGACACCTTCTTCAAGCAGTGGTACAGGAAGAAGTCTGCATCCTTCAAGAAAAACATGATTTTCATGCAGGACAATGCTCCATCACACGCGTCCAAGTACTCCACAGCGTGGCTGGCAAGAAAGGGTATAAAAGAAGAAAAACTAATGACATGGCCTCCTTGTTCACCTGATCTGAACCCCATTGAGAACCTGTGGTCCATCATCAAATGTGAGATTTACAAGGAGGGAAAACAGTACACCTCTCTGAACAGTGTCTGGGAGGCTGTGGTTGCTGCTGCACGCAATGTTGATGGTGAACAGATCAAAACCCTGACAGAATCCATGGATGGCAGGCTTTTGAGTGTCCTTGCAAAGAAAGGTGGCTATATTGGTCGCTGATTTGTTTTTGTTTTGTTTTTGAATGTCAGAAATGTATATTTGTGAATGTGGAGATGTTATATTGGTTTCACTGGTAAAAAGAAATAATTGAAATGGGTATATATTTGTTTTTTGTTAAGTTGCCTAATAATTATGCACAGTAATAGTCACCTGCACACACAGATCTCCCCCTAAAATAGCTAAAACTAACAACAAACTAAAAACTACTTCCAAAAACATTCAGCTTTGATATTAATGAGTTTTTTGGGTTCATTGAGAACATGGTTGTTGTTCAATAATAAAATTATTCCTCAAAAATACAACTTGCCTAATAATTCTGCACTCCCTGTAATGTAAAGAATGATTAGGTAGAAAATAAACCCGTCTGCTTTGGAAAATAAGACACAGCACCGGCAGTGGGAAAATGTGGAAAACTATGAGTGCGTTAAAAACCATTTAGCCAAGCAAGCAACATTTATACTGAGTGAAAAATGTTCACAGAATGAAATCAGCAAAACCAATGAGTCATTAAATAAAGAAACAGGAGTCTGGGAAGCTGTCAGACGGCAGCTAGCACACAGCAAGCTATAAAAGGAAATGCAGCAGATTGATTGCTGATTTTGGAAACATTAAGTCACCTGTCAAGAATGAAGCTGTTTCAGTCCCCAGAAAAAATAGCACACCCTCAAGACATAATAAAAATTATCTTAAAATTGGTTTAATACAACCTCAGATAAAGAACAAAAACATGACTTATTACACCGTATCAACTGAGGCAAAATACAGAAAGTGTGTGAAAAACTACGTAAAATTCTGTGTTTCCACGGGACTTAAGCTGCTAACCAAATTCACTTGATTATCTGATCATCAGTAAGTGTGAACACCTCTATAAATACTGATGGTTTGGCAGTTTGCACATTATCACATTATCAATTGTACATCAGTAATCAATCAGTCTAGGAAGGGTTATAATGTAAGGCTATATCCAAACCTTTCCAAGTCCATCATTGTACAGTTTGAACGATTATTCATAAGTGGAAAACACAGAAGACTTTTGCCAGTCATCTTAGCAGAGAAGACTGCTTTCTTGTCACGGTTTGTCTCACAAACAGCGTGGAGATAAGAGGTGTGGACCCAGGTGCAGACAATGATGAAGGGGAGTGTTTCAAACTGAGAATGAGCCTTTATTGTGGCTGTAAGAATTACCTCAAAACCACTATAAAAACCTAAACTGGGGACAGCTAAACATGAAGCTAGAAACATAAAACTAAATAACCTGAAACATGGAAACTTAGCTGGAGAGACAGTGGGGAAGATGAACAAGATGACTAACAGGCATAATACACAGAATGATACACAGATGCTCCAACAAAGAAGAGAGGTAACCACACACTAATAATAATAACGTATACTTTATTTATCCCCGAGGGGAAATTCCTCTCTGTATTTAACCCATTCACTCTGTGAAGCAGTGGGCAGCGGTGTGTAGGGACGGTACCTTGCTCAGGGTCACCATTCAGTGGAATCGAACCCCCGACCTTCCGATCATGGGGCCATCACTCTACCTACTGAGCTATCCCTGACCTAAAATGCCACTAAATATTCACACAAGGTAACAAGGAGATGGCACACAGGAGTGAGACACAGCTGAACCTAATTAGACAAGACAACGGGGAAGCAAAACAGAATACATCACCTGAGACACGGACCTTCAAAATAAAACAGGAAATACAACTGGCTCAAGGACATGGACTTGAAACTACACAGGGGACCAAAACCTAAGAACTAGAAATACAAAACAGAAACCATTACAATAGCAGTCAAACCCCAGATAAAAACAAAGATCAATAATAATACATAAACCAAAACACTGGGTCACCGACCCAGGACCGTGACAGTTCTACAGTCAAATGTTAAGCCATCTGTCTGACAGCTAAAGCCTTGGTGAAACTAGGTCATCAACAGGACAATAATCCCAAACACAGCAGCTTATCTACAACAGAATAACTGAAAAAGCAAAGAATCAGTGCTCCAGACCTCAACCTGATAGAAATGATGTAGTGGACCTTCAGAGAGCTGTGCATGAATAAATCCTCACAAAGGGAAGATTAATGCCTTGTTATCATGGAGCATATACCACATGAAAAACTAACAATTAGGGCTCCTGAACATACAATGCATTCCTTTGTATGTGTCTAAGTGCTGAGTTCAAATGGTTAGTGTCCTGGGAGTGAGTGGGGGGTTTGAGCGTCACATACATAATGCTTTAATAAACTGGATGTAACATAGTCCCCTCCATGTGTGAATGTGCAGGAGGGTGTTTGGTTGGGTGGGTTTTGTGAGTGTGCTTTTTTCCTGTTTCTCTTTAGCACTATAGCTATAATTTTAGATCTAGAGAGACATATAAGGAAGACTTTTCAACATAATGGTAAATGGACTGATTCTTATATGATGCTTTATACTGCAGGTACAACACCACTATTATCCTCTATAATCTAGAGAAAATACCTTTCTGACAACCTAAAACAAAACTGAAAATGATGTTACGGTCATGCTCCATTCAGTTAGACTCCACTGGGTTACACAAGTCCTCAGAAAGTCTGTAACAGAACAGGTGAAGCAGTCACAGAGCAGATGCTGAGGCAACCGATGCTGTGATTTGGCACTATAGAAATAAAATTGAACTGAATTGAATCAAATGTTTCTGCACTACTTTTACTAAGTAAAAGCTGTTATACGTCTGTACCTTTATTGTGACTTTTATTGAAGGAATACTTGTTAAACTGCATTTTTTGATTACTGCTTCTATCAAAGAGCTTGCTAAAGGTGTGAATTGCCTGCAGACTTGTGCTTTAACTGTGGTTGAGTCTGTCTTTTTGCACAGTGAAGGAGACCCTGGCTGCATGTTAAGTCCTTCCCAGATATGATGTCATGTATTTGGCGAGCTTCAACCATCTGGCTGGGGTCTGTCCGTCACTGTACATTTACTTTCTCTTGCAGTCCTGCCACTATACTTAAGTCTTGGTAAAGCACATTACACAGGTTTCATGTTCAGAAAGGCAAGTGAGTGAAATTATGTTTAGTGCCTCATACTTGATGCTGCAGCTTCACACTGCAGACTGAGCTGGGCTCACTGTTAAAGTTTTGTGCTTTTTATACAATGATGTCACTTATGGGAGAAATCCCTCTCTTTTACATCTCCTCCTCCGTCTGTCTGTCTGAGTTTGGGCAGGGTCGCAGCTGTGAAACATTAGGGACTTGTCCTGTTTCTGTTCTATCTGTGTTAGAGTGCACGTGCTGGGTTTTTCCCCTCGTAAAAAACATGGCCCACCATTAACATGGCTACTAAGAGATCATTCTTCTCTTGGTTGGGTTTGTTCTTTGTAACTTCTTTTTACTCGGCTTTTAAGTGGTTGCAGATTGTGACACCTCAGTGTTTATTGACCAAATTAGACTTTTCTTGTCAAAGTGTTGTGGATGTTTGGAGGAGGGCAAGTATTGCAAGCTCAACAGTGCAGCATGGACCTGGATTCCATACACTTTGTAATTTGTCTTAATTTTTTATCTGTAATATTAATTTTCTTAACCAGGTTACACAATGCATCTAAAGACACAACTGCTCTAAGCAGAATTCCTCATTAAAATATGACCAAACAATTTGCACATACATGCTCGGTGTCTTGTGAAACACTGCTCTGTGACCTGCAAAGGTCCTGAGTGGGACTGTATCTGTAATTAAAGCTTGTGGTTTTTGGAGTTTCAAAAGCCAACTAGGATGCAGAGACTTCAACTATTCGATTCAATTCAATTTGATTTTATTGATATAGCGCCAAATCACAAGCACAGACATGTCAATGTGCTTAATATTTATATAAGGTAAAATAACCCTTAAATAACAGAGACAGACTCCTGTCCTGTGAAACCAGCTCGATGTATGTGGCTTAAATGAAAGAAGCTGCCGAAACTGACATGCTTTTTAAAACTGTTTATTACGCAGCCTTTTTCACCCTTTGAAACTAGAAAACGGGATAAACACTTAATAGATATGAGACCACTCTGTTGCAAGACTAAGTTCATGCAAATAAGAAAATGAGCAGAGTAAATTACTGTCCAGTTTGGATCAATGTGTGTTTCTGTCTTACCCTTGAAGCAGAAAGCCCCGTGCCTGTCAGTGGGGTCTGGGTAACCAGTCTGGTTTTCATACTTGTAAAGTGTGCGGACCCCCAACTGGCCTCCTCCACACTGAGGCCTGGGGACGGTGATGGGGTAACGGACACTGCCGTCAGATAGCCAGCCAAAGTCGCAGCGGTTTAGCCCCCCCCTCCAGGCTGCAAACAGATGACCGGGCGATGCCAGCACGGCATCATGCTTCTCGCACTCTTCCCTTGCTTGCTGCCAGGTGAGCTTACTGCTGATGGAAGTAGGATAGAATACCTCGCCTACAGACAGAGCAGATACACAAAGTCAGTTTACAGCTAACCACAGTCTTTTTACTTGATATTTTAAATGAATTACATTTGTCACCCTGGATCAACACACCTGAATCAAATGATTATTATCATTACCAGGCCTCTGGAGAACCTCAAGACATGTTGAGGAGGTAATTTAGCCATTTAAATCAGCTTTGTTGTTTCAAGAACACATCTAAAACCTGCAGGACACCGGCCCCTGAGGCCTGGAGTTCCCCACCCCTGGTATAGAGCCGCAGCAGACTAGCAGAAACTAGTGGAGGAGCTACAAGGTTGAAATTTTAACTTCAGAAAAGTGTTCTGCTAAACACTTAATGCTAAGCTAAGCTAACCACTGCCTCTGTAATTCTGTATTTCAGTATGTATTTGTCTTGCATGTGTATTTACCGTGTAGTTTGTCTACGTAACAGTACACATCATATTTCTCCATGGGGTCACGGATGCCGTAGGTTCTCACACCTGGCCGATTCTTTAGATTACCTTCGCAGCCTGGACGGGTCACTGTGACTGGATATCTGAAAAATGAACAATAATAATGACAATGTTTTTAAAAGCAGAGCAAGAAATGATCTGATATTTAAAGAGGTCATATTTATTTGTTTATTCGGTTTTCATGTTCTATAGTTGGGTCCCTAAGTACGTGTACAATAACAGTTTTTGTAGTTTTGCCTCTGTGCACCAACACAGTGAACTGCACACGACGAAAATGTGACTTAAGTGCAGAGTCTCAGAGAAGATCCATGGATGTAATGAAGGAGGAAATACAGAGGGTTGGTGTGGCAGAGTTGGCCTACCGCACTTGATTTACCATCACATTTGGGCTCGCTGAGATTCAAAATGGCACTTCAACTTTTGAATTTCGGTTATTTTATCTGCTAATTTATCATGAAATTACGAGGGACATTAAACTTGAGATTATTTGTTTAAAGAAATGTAGGAACATACCTAACTGACTGGTCTGCAAGCCAGCCCGCATCACACTGGTCGAGGCCATCTTCAAAAGCAGCCGTCAGCTGCTCAGGTGTAGCGATGGATGCGTCTACAGAGTGGCACGCTTCCACAGCCTCAGAATAGTTCAGACTGTAGCGGCTGCTGTTAGCTCTGTAGTGGAACACCACACCTGCAGAAGGGTTATCAACAATCAGGAATATATGGATGCCTTCAATAGCGTTTTATTAAATCAACATAATTTTAGATCCATTATTGAAGGTCCTCGAGACGAAATATATGACCAAAATTATGAATATCCGAAAGTCAAGGTTTCAGTTCATGCTTGAAAAACAAATCTACATATCAGGAAATCAAACTTAAAATCAAAACAAAATCAATAGCCAATCAGCCAGATTGGATGGAGAGTATCTGTGAACAGCAATTTTCAAGTCTTGCCATAGATGCTCAATGGGATTTAAGTCTGGACTTTGACCGGGCCGTTCTGACACATGAATATTCTTTGATCTAATCAATTCAATTGTAGCTATTGCTGTATGTTTAGGATAATCGTCTTGCTGGAAGGTTAATCTCCTTCCCAGCCTCCAACAGGTTTTCTTTCAGGATTGTCCTGTATGTAGCTCCTTCCATTTTCCCATTAACTCTGACCAGCTTCTCTGTCCCTGTAGAAGGAAAACATCCCCACAGAATGATGTTGCCACCACCATGTTTCACAGTGGGGATGGTACGTTCAGGGTGATGAGCAGCATTACTTTTACATTACCTCCAACTGAGTCAGCAGGTCTGGACTCAAACCAGGGGGACTCTGCTTAAAACCACAACAAAAAGTACACTGATTGTCATTGCTCCCTTGCACCCAGTTACTTACCCAGTCAGTATGGCTTCCAACTAAAGATTTACCATTAAAATCATTAACCCAAAAAATAGCTTCTTGTTTTATGGGTCCATATGAAATAGACTCTGTAATTAGTCCCATGACTGTCAAACTCAAGTTGCCCCCATCACTGCGCAGTCATCTCACCTTTCATGTGTCTCGACTCAAACTGGTGTATTCCAGTCAGCTGTGCCCTCTATGCGATCCTCCCCCACTACCCACCCGGCTCATCGACAGCCACCCAGCCTATGATTTTTGCTGGCTCGTTAACGTTTGTCAGCAAGGCCAGCGCAATCAGTTCATGTTGGACTGGGAGGGGTACTGCCCGTAGGAGCATTCCTGGGTCCTGCGGGCATTCATCCTTGACCATTCTTTAATCTCTTTCTTCTACGAGTGTCTTTGCAGGTCTGTGTCTGATCAGTGCCTGGAGGTGACTCTTGGGGTACTGTCAAGATCTGGTGTGTTTTGGTATTCTGGCATATTTTCCATTCTGCTCCTGAGGCTTTGTTTCTAGTTCCCAGGTCCACCTTTCCTTATGTCTCCATGTTCCGTTAGCATACTCATTTCCCTGTGTAACATTGCTCTGTGTTTCCAGTTTTGCATCCTTGGATCAGCATTCACTCATCTCCACTAAGAACCAAATTCCCTCTGATGCTGGTTCTCCTCGCCCACTTGCTACCTACCAGCTGCCACTGGTCTTACCTCTAGTTTTCCTGGAGTAAGCCTGAAATCTCACTTGCCTGCCCTCCGGCTTGCTGCAAGTTACCCCCGCTGTGGAAAAGAGGACGTCGGACATCTGCTCGTTTATCACTCACCCACTCACCCAGTGAACCACCCCTCTCTGTAGCCTTGCTTCGCCCTCTTACCCTTCTCCTTTCACTCACCATTGCAATCATACACACCTTCTACCTGAGCTTGTGAAATAACACACCTCTCCCTCTATCGCAGTGGCTCCCAGTCCTGTGAATTTCTTTGTCCACCATGCTTTGACTTTTGTGATGCCTGTGTTAAATAAAGTTTTGTCTAAAATTGAAAGGTTGTGTTTTGAGAATTTTAAAAAATCAGAATTAAACTTTTAAAAAATGAATGCTGGCCACTCTCCTAGGCTGCAAATAATGCAGATCTGGATCTCCAGCATATGTTGTTTTTTTTAAAACACTCTCTCCTCACAATACAGCACACAGCTTAAAATAGTGGTAATATCTTTGTAGCACACACAACAAGACACAAGATGTCTCCTGAATGAGTGAAAGACTGATGTGAGACCTCCCAGCCCATTGTTTGCCAGTGGTGCTAGTTTCAGTCACTGTGCAAATGTACTGTTTATGAGGTTGGGAAACTTGCAGTCAGCTGAGACTGAAGAAGTCACTTGGATGATACCGAAACATTTCTCCCACTGAAAACGCTACGATGAACAGAATCAGCTTTTTGGGACTGGTGCGAGTGTTTGTGTAAAGCAGACTTTAGGTTTCCACATCACACTGGAGTAAAGTGTTTGCTGGACACAGTTAGCTTTGGACTAGTTGCCTAAAAGTTTTTAGGTCATCTCAGAGAATCTTTCCTCTTTCAGCAGATGGATTAGAAAACAGACCATTACAATGACCAGAGAGGAAGGGCACTTTAAAGAAAATGGCACGTGTACACATTTCAGTCAATACTTTTGGCGACACCTTCAACTTTGAAGTCTCTGCCAGCTGGGCACATCTGGATACAGACAATGAAGTTTGTAGACTTGCATACAGACTCCTAATCTGACTATAAAATGGTGAGTTGCTAGTGTTCCTGTATGTTTTACTCACCTCTGACAGTGAGGATGACTGTGACCTGAGTGGACTCTAGCCCATGCATCACCTCGCAGCGGTATAACCCAGCATCGCTGGCCCTGAGCTTCCCTATCACCAGAGAAGCATCTCCAAACCACTGCGGGTAGCTGAGCACTGACACCCTGCTCTCAAAGCTATGCCCCAACTTTACTCCCAGTCCCTGGGCCACCAGCACCACTTTCTCCTCCTGCCCATCTAGCTTCGTCCACTTGATCCTGCCGTAGTCATCAGAGCTCTGGCTGTGAGTTTGCGCAGGTGTAGGGGTGTGCGTCAGAGCTTGTGTGGAGCTGCTGGGATAAGCTTGCGTTATGGAGAAGTAACACGGTAGCACCACTGTGTCTGCTAGAGAGCCAGCTACAGCCAATTTCTCCTCCATCTTCACTGCCATCTCTGGAGGTGCTGGAAGGAAAACAGGAACCAGTTTGAGTCTAAAATGAATAAAAGCAATGCTTTTTGCAGCATTTTAATGGACGTACAACCTAACTAAGAAGTCTAGACTCCACTTTTCATGAGTGCAATTCCAGTATTTTACTAGTTTTGCTATTTCTGTCTGTGTGTTACACCGCGTCTTTGTGTGAGGCTAGCTAACTCAGCTTGCTGACATTAGCTGATAACTTAGTACTCCACCCTGTCTAAATATGATCATGTCTGGCTCCAAAAATACAAGGCAGAGGCCCAATGCAGTGAATCAATGTCACTTCCCATCCAATGAAACACTGATCCACAGCGACCCACTCCTTAGCTCTCAGGACCCAAAATAGAATCAGGAAAAGTAGGATCTGCTGCCAATAGCTAAGTACCAGACCCCTCAGGCCCATGTGTCATACCCAGAAGTCTATGCCCATGGCCTAATGGCTGTATTGATCTCAATATACACATAGCTGCAGATCAATCTCAAAGCAAGAGTAGTGACCAGCTACACCTGAGCAGGGTTTGGTTCAAAGCAGGAAACCAGTTTCTGTGGAGTTCAACTATAAATCCATTTGGAGAATTGAAATTCTATATGGAAATATATCTTTAACCTGCATAAACAACCGTGGAATCTGCAGAAGTATTGCACTAATACCTGCTCTGAGAAAGTGTGGGAGCGTTCAGCTGCAAGAAGAAAATGGAAAAAAAAAAAAACAAGTGAAAGAGTGTGTGTGTGTGTATGTGTGACTGCATACACACTTAACCAGGGAATGCTGGTTACGTGTGTATGCAGAGTGAATTTGTGTTGTGTTGAGAGTATAATAATTTTCCACTTTGTCAGTCTTGGATCTGCAAATCTGGCACGTAATTACAGCTACGTCAGAGAGAAAGCACCAGGGCGGGTTACAAAGTTTGGATTCAGCTACAAAATCATCATATCCTGCTAGACTCAACTTACCTGGCTGAGGACGGGGTGAACACAGACACACAAGACAGAGCAGGAGTATAAGGATGTGTTTAATCATCTCAACAGTATCTGCAAGAAAGAAAAAAAAGCAGTGACAGTCAGTGTGGGACCTTATAATAAATGCCAAATATTAGCCTACTGTAAGACTACAGTTAACTTTAGTTAATATATGTTATAATGTTCGAATGAGATAAGCTTTTTTTTTAAAACATAGAAGCGACACAGTGACCACAAACCACAGAAAGTGCAGTCTAGTGTAGTACCTAGTAGCATAACCTAAAATGATTTTAAAAATTAGTAATACCCTCTAAACTGTAGTCAATTAGTCTCAACTGACCAATCAAGCCATTAATTATTAGATTAGTAGTTTGTACAGGAATATCAACCAGTAGTGTTGGTGCAGACGAGCACAAATACTGCTGCGCTGTAGCCTTAGACTGTAAATAAAAAGACTAGACTGTGTTTCCAGGTGAAGTGGATTTTTATGCAGCATTTCAGTAATCTATAGTACAGTTTCACTTGGACAAAATTAGGCTTTTAAAATCTTATTTTTCTTTACTCACTTAATCTCATAGAAATAAAATCAAATGTTTTATTGTAGCTCATATAACCTACAGTTTTGAATCACTGTTAACTAAAATAAATGAACAGACATAATGGAATAACATGTTTTCCCAATTTTCTTCCATTATTGCACGAACTAGGACATGTATGTCTGGAATTCACATTGCCTGGACTATATAAAGTACTATTTGTTCTATTTCAACGTTAAATAAAAATAAATTAATTCATAAATACAGTTAACTGTCTCTGAGTAATTATGAATAACTGAGAAACCTTTCTTAATCTTATCACATTTAGGTTTTGCTTTAATGCTTTACATAGCTCTAGTTTGCATAATAATTATTATTAAAAAATAATTCAAAAACAAGAGAAAAGCGCTGCTTCTGGAACCACGTGTGTGCTAAGCTGTTCCAGGGCTTCACTGAGGCTGCTGCAGTGATACCGCTTATCAAGTGATCAATCAGCTGGTTGAGGGGACGTAATTGGTCCCTGGCTCAATTTTATCAATGAGTGTCTAATCACTTGGATCTACTAGTGTGGGAACATTCCCGTCACCTAAAAAGCAGCTCCTGATATGGGAATAAAACACTGACATTAGAGTAATATCGCTAAATAACCACACAAATATTACCCTTAGTTAACATCAGGTGAGCCACGGAGAAAACATAATAATAATCATAATTATTATGATTATTATAATTATAATTATAATAATGTAATACAACCTTGGAAGTGTATCCAAAGTCCAGCTGGCTCGTTTCGGGTTGATTTCTTAAAACTTTTCCAAATGAAACTGCCGGAGACTCCAAATGATCCGCGGAGTGTGAGCGTGCTTATTTTTCAGACCACTGTACTCACCCACTTCACTGGTCTGGCTGGAAGTTCAAATCCACTCTGCACGCGTTATTATCTTGATATTAAGAAGAGGAGGAGCGCACAATCCCTAAAGTAACGTAAAAACGGGGGAGGGACTTGGGGGCGGAAGGAGATCTGAGTGGGACAAAAAAGAGCAAAGTATAGATAGGCTGAATTTGGAGAAATGAAGGAAAGGGAGAGACTTTTCTTTGGCAGAAAGACCTGACTCCTGGGCGGGATGGCTTTGGAACCCTAACTGCCTCATATTCCTTTAACGAGTGTGATTTGTTTAGTAGGGGAGACCGGGGATAGTTGTAACGTGGGTCAGTTGTAACACTTCAAATTTCTCCAATCAGGGCTAAGTTTCAAATGATGTGACTCATCCTGTGCATGCCCAATTCAGTTCTGCTGTCACATGTGAAAAATCAGCACATTTTGTCAAACACAGACAATTTAACATGAAAAAAAGTAAGTTTTTCTACTTTATTTCAATGTTTAATAGCATTATCTGCTTTGCAGTTAAACTCATCAAACTTAAATTATGTTATTTGTATGTCTATGGGGATATATTCTGTGTAGGTCTTTAGTGCTAATGTTTTAGCCGTTGGCTGTAATGTTAGCTAGTTCATGGCTATAGGAGTCTGGGTCAGTTGTAACAGCAACAGTCTGGGTTAGTTGTAACAATAATGCAGATGTTACAACTTACCACACTATTACTTTAACTTATATTAAACAAGTTGGGGCAACGACATCAGCAGAGAGACGTTCACTGGTCGCATTTGTATATGCGGTTAATGCCATTGGCAACACAATTCCTCCACTGTTTGTGTTCCCACACATACATTATGCAGATCACTGTGTCAGAGATGGACCAGTAGGAAGTACTGGTAGTGGAAATAAATCAGGATGGATGCAAGAAACAGATTTCCTCATCTTTCTGAAGCACTTTGCAAACCACACCAAGGTAAGCCATGATAAAAAGTAATGGAATTGCGATGCTGGTGAACAACTACATTTTTTCAGCTTCATTGTTATGTTCAAAATTGGTGCAAGAGTTGTAGGTTATAATGCCCACTGAGCCAATGAGGCCAAACTCAAGGAAGACCAACCAAAATTAATGAAATATTCAGTTGCAGAAATTTCCATAATTTGTCTTTTTTGGGGGGTTGGAATATGTTCAAAAGCTAGATGTCTGCATTCTGTCACACACACACACACAGCTACATAAATGGCTCTAAGTGCATTCATGTGTTGAATAAACAAAGATTACATGTTAATATTTTGTCAGTACCCTTATTTCATTGTGTTACATTTCACCCCGGGATGTTACAACTAACCCAGACTATGGGGTTAATTGTAACATTTCACTCTTTGTGTTTGAGGCCATACCATGCAATGGGTAACTGTGCTGCAGAGAAAATAGCTGCACTATTTAATAGCCGAGACATGCAAATACTTTGCATTACATTTTGAATCCACTACCTTAAAAGAGCTCCAATTTACAGACAGAAATGTCAAAAATGTTACAACTATCCCCGGTCTCCCCTAATGTTGTTCTCGCACTCTGTAGGAACACAGTCTGCAATGTATTTAATCGGTTAAGTGACGACAAGTTAACATCTGGACAAGTGTATTAGTAAGAACAAGGGGAAGTTACAATGAAGGGTGTTCCAGGGGGCAAGGCAAAAACTGTCTTAACTCAATAATAAGTATGATTGACTTTTCAACACTGTGGAGGAGTCCGTAACGCTAATCAGCAGATCATGAACACACACACGTTCAACGAACATCTGTACGGACTGTGGAGTAGTGTTTTATGCACTTTAATAGAGAGCCAGGTGCTTCTGCAGTTCATGTTCCAATTACGAATAGCAATGCAGGGTCTTTACAATATCAGGCGACTGCTGTTGTGATTAGGCACTATAAAAGTGACACTGAATTAAATGGGAGAATCTTTTTCTTCCAATATTTTAGTTTCCACTTAAATGCTGTCCTATGACACAGTGAACATTGTTTATTATTTTTGTGTGGAAAATTACAGCAAGCATTCATTCAAACCATACAAATCTTTAAAGTCAAATTATCCTAAACCTCTAGAGAAGACAAAATACACACTGAGAGTCTAACCCAGATTATAGTCAAAGGAGCTTGCAAAGAAAAGCGTCTGGACTTCTTTAAGTTGCTTGAAGACGTTTCACCTCTCATCTGAGAAGCTTCTTCAGTTCTAAGGTCAAATGGTGGAGAGTCCCAGATATAACCTAGTGGGAGTAACCCCCCACAGAGGGACAAAAGGACCCCCTGATGATCCTCTAATCGCCTGAGCCAAGGTGTGAAACTGGGTGTGGGTCCCAATCAGCCAGAGTTTCGGGTGTGTTCATTGTGAAACCTGGCCCCACCTTATCATGCGAATTCCTGAGGTCAGATGGCCCAGGATGTGAGTGGGCGTTAAGGCGTCTGGGAAGGGATCTCAAAACTGGATTATAGATGGCAGAGAGTTGGTGTCGTAAACCCCCGCCTCTGTTCAAAGATGGTCGCTCACAGTGGACATAGATGGCTTCTTTCACTCCTCTTTCAAACCATCTGTCCTCTCTGTCCAAAATGTGAACATTGGCATCCTCGAAAGAGTGTACTTTATCCTTAAGATGCAGATGGACTGCTGAGTCTTGCCATGCGCTTGTGAAGTGGCTGTTTGGTCTCTCCAATGTAGAGGTCTGGGCATTCCTCGCTGCACTGTACAGCATACACCACATTGTTAAGTCTGTGTTTTGGCGTTTTGTCTTTCGGGTGAACCAGTTTTTGTCTGAGCGTGTTGCTGGGTCTGAAATGCACTGTTTTACCAGCTGATACGGGAAGGTGCACCGTGGTCCTAAACACTACAGATTACCATACAAAGATCACTACTCTCCTCAGTGACAACAATACCTACGAAGCCCTAAAGCGAGACCCCACAAGCAGCTACAAAAAGAAAGTTATAGCTTGCCTTCAAGACTTTGAAAAGGACAAAATTATTGACCGCCTTACATATCACCGCCTTTACCCAGGGAATGCCATACCCTGCATCTATGGACTTCCTAAGATCCACAAGGAAGCTGTCCCACTCAGACCCATAGTCAGTAGCATAAACTCAGCCACTTACAACATTGCTAAACACCTTGCTACCATCCTCGCGCCTCTTGTGGGGAACACCCCAGACCACATCAAGAACTCCACCGACTTCACCGACAAGGTCCAGAAACTTACCCTGGATCCAGATGAAACCATGGTGTCCTTTGATGTAGTCTCTCTCTTCACTTGCATACCCACCACGGAGGCAGTGGAGACTGTCAGAAAACGACTACAAGAAGACAGCTCCTTGGAGGACAGGACCAACTTCACACCCGATCAGATCTGCACACTGTTAGACCTCTGCCTCACCACTACATATTTCAAATACAACGAAGGCTTTTACAGACAAAAACATGGCTGTGCCATGGGCTCCCCCGTGTCACCTATTGTAGCCAACCTTTACATGGAGGAAGTAGAAAGGAAGGCTCTTGGCTCTTTCAAAGGAAGAGTACCCAGCCACTGGTACAGATATGTGGACGACACCTGGGTCAAAATCAAGACACAAGAAGTGGAATCCTTCACTGCGCACATTAACGCTGTGGATAAGAACATCAAGTTCACCAGGGAAGACACAAAGGACAACTGTCTGCCTTTCCTGGACTGCGCTGTGCACATTGAAGAGAACGGCAAACTCAACATCGAAGTTTACCGGAAGCCCACACACACGGACCAGTACCTCCTCTTTGACTCCCATCACCCTTTGGAACACAAACTCGGAGTACTTAGGACCCTACACCACCGGGCAGAACATGTTCCCTCTAAGCCTGAAGGGAAAAAGAAGGAACACACACATGTAAAGGAAGCACTCAAAACGTGCGGCTATCCTAAATGGGCGTTCTTAAAGTCAGCAAAGAGGCACAGAAAAGAAGACCAGACACCAGCGAGGGAGGATAAGAAGGACAGACGCAACAACATTGTCATCCCCTATGTAGCCGGTGTATCAGAAAAACTCAGGAGAGTTTTCTCCAAGCATGACATCCCGGTGCATTTCAGACCCAGCAACACGCTCAGACAGAAACTGGTTCACCCGAAAGACAAAACTCCTAAACACAGACTTAACAATGTGGTGTATGCTGTACAGTGCAGCGAGGAATGCCCAGACCTCTACATTGGAGAGACCAAACAGTCACTTCACAAGCGCATGGCACAACACAGAAGAGCCACCTCCACAGGACAAGACTCAGCAGTCCATCTGCATCTTAAGGATAAAGGACACTCTTTCGAGGATGCCAATGTTCACAGTTTGGACAGAGAGGACAGATGGTTTGAAAGAGGAGTGAAAGAAGCCATCTATGTCCACTGTGAGCGACCATCTTTGAACAGAGGCGGGGGTTTACGACACCAACTCTCTGCCATCTATAATCCAGTTTTGAGATCCCTTCCCAGACGCCTTAACGCCCACTCACATCCTGGACCATCTGACCTCAGGAATTCGCATGATAAGGTGGGGCCAGGTTTCACAATGAACACACCCGAAGCTCTGGCTGATTGGGACCCACACCCAGTTTCACACCTTGGCTCAGGCGATTAGAGGATCATCAGGGGGTCCTTTTGTCCCTCTGTGGGGGGTTACTCCCACTAGGTTATATCTGGGACTCTCCACCATTTGACCTTAGAACTGAAGAAGCTTCTCAGATGAGAGGTGAAACGTCTTCAAGCAACTTAAAGAAGTCCAGACGCTTTTCTTTGCAAGCTCCTTTGACTACGATGACCTGGATGACTGAGAACCTTCACAGACAACCCAGATTATACACGATACCAGGTGGGTATCCTTACTGCTAAAAACCAGCCCTGGAATGGCACGGCTACAGCTGCAGCCTGTCTGCAGCTCAGGACACAAGCATTTCACTGCATGTTCACTATATGTTATACTGTGTATGTGACAAATTAAAAAAAAGTAATTGTAATTGTATTGATGAATAGGTTGTGGGTTTGATCCCTGGCTGTTCAAGTCCTAAGCTACAGCCCGGGTGGCTTAGGAGTTAGATCAGTTCTGCTAATCAAAAGGTTGGTGGCTTGCCAAATATCCTGGGGCAAGATATTAACCCTGATGTATCCATCGGAGTGTGAATGTTAGACAGAAAGCACTAAAAGTGCTTTATAGATGCTTCGCTTAAGTGCTCCAGAAGAGTAGAAAATTATGTAAGAATCAGTCCATTAACTATTTGCTTTCACTTTTTATTTACACAAATATCAAAATTAGTTGTTGATGTGTAGCCTGCAAAGTATATCAGAAAAAATACATTTCAAAGAAGTCCTGAGCTAATGTAAACTTTGATAAAAACATGTTTATTATTTTTACTATTCCAAACATTGGTCATTAGTGTACTTTACTAAAAAAAAAAGCAACCTCTACAGTGCTTTATAAAGAATCACCAAGCATTTCTCTCATCAGCATCCATTGAACGCCTTTTTTTGCAGTGCTTTATCCTTCCATATAGATACAGCACTAGATGCATTCAATCACAATAAAAATATGATGCTTTGGCATTTCACTGCTGTGGTCTTGTCTACGTCTATAAGGTGCAGACGTGGAACATCAGAATTCCTCAAAAAGGTCTTCCACTGCAGAACTTGCTGCAGCATCTGCAGAGAGCCGTGGAGTCTGATGCTTACTGGATCCTGCAGGGGAGTCATTCCTGTCAACCACACACACACACACACACACACACGCACGCACATGCACGCACACGCACACACACAGAAAAGAGGTCAGTGGGCTAATGAGACTGGTTTACAGGACCGTTTGCCTGTTGAAACAGGAAATATGTCATGTGCTCTATAGGACACAAGACAAGAAACACATGGGCAATGTGTGTGTGTGTGTGTGTAACTGTGGCCCAGCAATTCCCCTACTTTAAGTGTTCTACATCAAACACATCACTACTTCTATTTGTTTTTGTGCATTTCAACATAGAGGCTCATGTTCTCCACCAGTTTTTAAGTCTGATGATGTTACCTCCCCAAAGCAGGCTCTTTTTCCTGTGGCATAAGCGTGCATTCGGTCTATATACATCATAGCTGTTGTATGCAATATTTTAAATGTTATGATTTATTGGTGAAAAATTGACAAATAATGTCACATTTGACCTCTGACATGGTTAAAGCTGTAGTAAATCAATATCGAGCTTTTTAAAACTATGTTTCATACGGTTGTTGTTCTACCTACAAGCACATAGGGAACGATACACAGGGGTTTTAAATATCATGTCACATTTGAGCTCTAAAAGGAAATAATGCCCAGACAGTGAGCTGCCTTGGTTGAAGGTCACACTGAAGGTCTCTAAAACTTAGCTTCATCAAGCAATGAATATTTTTTACATTTTATACTTTAAACTAGTTAATCCATAAGCAGGGGCAGATCTAGAGGGGTGGCATGGGGTGGCATGTGCCACCCTAAAATGATCTCTTGCCACCCCTAGTGCTACCCTAGTTTTGCACATGACAATAATAATAATAATAATAATAATAATAATGGATACTTTATTGATCCCCATGGGGAAATTACTTGTTTTTCTCTGCATTTGACCCATTCACTCAGTGAAGCAGTGGGCAGCCCACTAAGCAGGCGCCCGGGGAGCAGTGTGTAGGGACGGTACCTTGCTCAGGGGTTGTTGTTTATTATAATAAGATAGCATTAACACTTTGAGGGTAGCTACAGTTAACACTGAATATAAATTCTAAAACTGAATATATTACATAGTGCCCCCCCACTCACCATTAACAAATGGGTTTTGTTTTTTTTTAGAAGCAAGTGATGCCTATGACTGTGCCAGAGCACCTTTTGAACAACACCATGGGAATTTCACATTATATTATATATATATATATATACACACACACACATACACAAGCAATGCTTTTTTTCTGAATACTATCATCACGTTTGTGCAGGAAGAAATGCTAGAGAAAGCATTTTCTAAGGACAGCCCGAAAACTGTAAAGAAAGAAAAGAAGCCACCTCTCTCCTATTGGTGAAAAAAAATGTACTATGTCGACCAATAGAAAAATAGCAACAGGTGGGATTTCTTTGTTTAGGAAGAGGGGCAAGTTTTAGGAGTGAGCGAGAGAGAGAAAGCGAGTTTTGAGATGTGAGAGATTTGTGGTTTAGCGTGGAGTGTGTAGTTAGTGTGTTGTGTGGTCGTTGTTTTGTTTTGTGTCAGTGAGGGTACTAATGAATGTCACAAAAGCAGATTGCAATGAAAACACCGTCTTGAGGTGGAAAACCGGAGGAGTGATACACCTGTTGTCAGGCCTGCATATGTGTTTAAAAAAAAAAAGGGGGGGGGCTTTGATTTGCCACCCCATTTGATTTCCATCCCACCCTAAGAAATTTCTCTAGATACGCCCCTGTCCATAAGAAGTTTCCTGCTTCTGCGTCTGTCATGATTCTTTCTTCTCACTGTTATGCCTTTCCGGTTTTGACTCTGCGGCTTTCTGTGTCTCTTGTATATTTTTCTCTTTGTGGTTATTTGAATATGAATATACAGGCCACCTGAACCCAGGTGGTGCAGGTCATCTTCATGTGAGGTTCTGAGAAAAAACAAACAAACCCCAAAACATGAAATAGTTTCATCAATAAATACTGGTTTTGTAATTTTTCTTTTCTTCGTGTGACTACCAACAGTGGTTCTATGCTACATTAAAAGATTTAAAGGGCTCACAAAATTTAAATGATCAGCCTTTTAGAAACCATGGTGACACCATGTGATGTTTAAGTGTGGAGATAAGAGAGGACAAAAGGGGATCATGAAAGCTCAATGGGTAACAGAGAAAAGAAATCAAGAGGGGATCAAGGGAGAAAAAGTGATAAGGAAAACACAAATGTGGGCCAGCTGGTCACACTAGTGCTTTAAGAGTCTCCACATTTCTGTGCTACATCTTGATGAATAGAAACATATATTAGCTTAGCAAGAAAGTGGGAGTGACGGGAGGGTGGGGGCATACAACCTCTGCCATTAATGAGCGTGTTATATCTAACTGGTTAACTTTGGCAAAGCCATAGGCGTATGAACTCCTTATAAAGTACTTTAGCAGCATTCCCACCTGGAAACTTTATTTACAAGGATAATGTCCAAAACCTTTGTTCTGCATTTCCACTGAAGACTACAGCTTTGTAGATAAGGCACATTAGGCAGTCGATACATCAAAAACTGAAAGCTGTTTTATAATGTTATTTCTCTATGTAGCAATATCAAACTTATCTGGTGCATATCCCAAAACGTTGATTCTGTTCATCAGGAGATAGTTTTTTCAGTGGGAGAAATGTTCATCCAAGTGACTTCTTCAGCCTCAGCTGAAAGCAGGTTTCCCCAATCTTATATTTGCACAATGACTGAAACTAGCACCACTGAATGAACAATGGGCTGGCAGGTCAGTTCCTTGATTATTAATATGCAAATTCTCATGACCATTGAGAGTTATGTGTGTGTGTGTGTGTGTGTGTGTGTACGTACACAGGTGAAACTCAAAAATTTAGAATATCGTGCAAAAGTTCATTTATTTCAATAATTCAACTTAAAAGTTCAAACTAAAATATGATATAGACTCATTCCTTTATTTTTTTATTTTGATGATTATGGCTTACAGCTTATGAAAACCCCAATTTCAAAATCTCAGAAAATTAGAACATTTTATGAAATGAATAAAACAAGGATTTTAAATAGAGAACTGTTGGACCTCTAAAAAGCATGATCATACATATGTACGCAGTACTTGGTTTGGACCCCTTTTTGCATGAATTACTGCCTCAACGCAGCATGGCATGGATGCTATCAGCCTTTGGAAGACTAGGTTGCTTAATTAGCAGCCTTCAGCTCTTCTGCATTGTTCGGCCTCATGTCTCTCATCTTTTTGTTGGCAATGCCTCATAAATTCTCTCTGAGGTTCAGGTCAGGCAAGTTTGCTGGCCAACCAAGCACAGTAGTCCCAGTGTCATTGAACCAGGTTTTGGGTACTTTTGGCAGTGTGAGCAGGTGCCAAGTCCTGCTGGAAAATGAAGTCAGGATTTCCATAAAGCTTGTCTGCGGAAGGAAGCATGAAGTGCTCCAAAATGTCCTGGTAGATGGCTGCGCTTACTCTGGACTTAATAAAGCATAGTAGACCGTCACCGGCAGATGACATGGCTCCCCAAATCAACACAGACTGTGGAAACTTTACGCTGGACTTCAAGCATCTTGGATTGTATGCCTCTCCACTCTTCCTCCAGACTCTGGGAACTTGGTTTCCATATGAGATGCAAAATTTGCTCTCATCAGAAAAGAGGACTTTAGACCAGCAACAGACCAGTTCTTTTTTTCCTTTAGCCAAGGTAAGATGCTTCTGATGTTTGTTGTTCAGGTGCGGCTTGACAAGAGGAATACGACATTTGAAGCCCATGTTCAGGATCCATCTGTGTGCCGTGGCTCTTAATGTACTAACTCAGTCCACTCATTGTGAAGGTCCCACACACTTTTGAATGTCCTTTTCCTGACAATCCTCTGAAGGCTGTGGTCATCCCTGCTGCTTGTGCATCTTTCCCTTCCACGTAACTTTCTATTAATGTGCTTTGATAGAGCACTTTGGGAACATCCAACCTCTTCTAAGAGACCATTTAAAAGCCCACTATGCAGGTGTTTTGGATTAATTAGCTAATTAGACTGTGACGCTTTAAATGGTAAATGGCCTGCATTTGTATAGCGCTTTTCTAGTCCCTAAGGACCCCAAAGCGCTTCACACTACATTCAGTCATCCACCCATTCACACACTGGTGATAGTAAGCTACATTGTAGCCACAGCTGCCCTGGGGCGCACTGACAGAGGCGAGGCTGCCGGACACTGGCGCCACCAGTAGGCGAACATGGGGTTAGTATCTTGCCCAAGGATATTTGGCATGCAGCCAGGAGGCAGCCTGGGATCGAACCACCGACCTTCTGATTAGTGGCTGACCTGCTCTGCTCTGCCACCTGAGCTACAGCCACCCCATATTTTTTAAACCTAAAATATCGAGAAAATATATATATATGAATTAGACTGTTTTCAAACGACAAAGAATGTATTAAATCTGTGTTGATCCCAGTATAAATCAAAATGAAAACACTTGTGAGACCCTCACAGTGCCATGGCTTGTAGTGACTATCTGTGATGGCTTGGAGCGATATTTGATCGTTTACAGAACCAGTCCATGTGTAAAAGGGAGGAAGGATTTCACTGTAACTTTCTTTTAGTTTCCTTTCATGGGAAAACAGTCCTCTGTGTACACAAACAATTATATCCCAACCACATTTTCAAAGATCAGGAGAGGGAGATGGGGTAGTAAACTGAAAACCTCTCTTTATTTTCAGAGGAACTGAGAAATCCTTCTTTCTTTCATCAAACAAAGAGTTTTGGGTTAGAAATATGTGTATTAGTGAAGTAAAGAAGAGAATATGGGAATTGGTTAGTTTATTGTAGGAATACATATTTACTGCAAAGAGCAGAACAGCTGCTAGCCTGCAGTACTGTGAAAAACTCACTTCTTCACAGTTTGTATCCGAGGAGTCAGACTTTCTTGTATTTTTGTGCTCAAGTGCTCTTGAGCAACAGTTCTCCAGCTTCCTGTAGGTCTTTAAAATTGTTCCTTTTGGCATTGCCTGCTTTATCACACATTTTCAGTCCTTGTACCTGACCAATTTGACATAAATGGGTTCTTTGTTAAGCCACTGATCTCTAATCTATATATCATTCAAGTATAAATATTTTGTTAAATACAAACTTGACTGCTTTTATACACCTGCTTGGTGCTGCTGGAGTCACAGTGAGGTTAAGTGACACAAAAAGGAATTTCCCAAAATGCTGAGCACTTTTTTACATTGCCAGCCATGCTTCTGTTTATGTGGCTCTCTTACTATGTTAACTTTTCCTCATCCTGGTCTCCATCTTCTCTGTGGAGGTAACAGTGGTTAATAGCCACCACCAGGAGAAGGGCCTCTTTTCTGCTGTGTGTGCCAGCTCAGAGGGGGGCAGTTTTAGCAGCCACTGCAGTGATCAAACATCCAGCAGCTACAACTGTACATTAGCTCACTGCTGCTTCTTGTTAGAGAAGGCAGAGCTGGTAATGGGCAGCAGTACCAAATCCTGACAGCAGCTTTAAATGGATGGCAACACTTATCTGCATGTGTTTTACAGTCACTGGCACTCTGAGAAACCTGGACACAGTATATTTACTCTGTTGGTAGGGACTGCTACAGAAACAATGTCAGATTGAGACATGCTTTTAAGAATATTTTCTAAACAGACACCTCCAAAAGAAGCTGGCAAATGGACGAAATGGGAACAAGAGCAATGGTATTGAGAGGTTTTGGATGTGCAGCAATGGGGCTTTCAGAGCAGTGTGATGGTCTGACTGAGCTTGAAAAGAGGGGCTATAGAAACAACAGCGAGGAGAATAGAAGAGAGTTGCACAATTGTTTCTTTGGCTCCTCACTTCACATGCTAGACCTCCTTTGACAATCCCCCACCCCATCCTAGCAGCCGCACTCCAAACTGTCTTCAAACCAGACAATAACGGCATTCACTGATATCCAAGATATTAAAAGGGTTGATTATGAAAAAAAAATATTATCCACTTATGTAAAAATAAAGCACGTTCTTTTAAAAGTGAACACACATATCTGAATCCTAATCCAAAATTTGTGTTACAAACATTTATCCAAATCTGCACATTGCATAGACTGTATATAAAAGAAGGATGTGGCTTCCGTGCAAAAAAGTGCCTTAAAAATTAAAAGCAAGGCAGTAGGGGCCTCCTTTAGTTGTCTCTACACACTGGGCTTAATAACACAGCATAAAGATGATTCCCTACAGTGAATGTTTGATATTTTTTATTAAAGTAACTACCAAGGGGTAAGATCAGGGGCAGATCTAGAGAAATTTTCTTAGGGTGAGAAGGAAAACAAATGGGGTGGCAAAATCAAAGCCTTATTTTTCTAAACACATATGCAGGTGGTTACATATGGTTAAAATGATTCAAATGCAGTAAGTATACACATTTTTCCATAAATATAGTCTATAACTTAATTATTTTCTGTAGCCCACATAATTAAACATTTTAGTTACATAATACGTGCAAATTTTGATTTTATGTACTGTATAGCCTGTATAATAAATAAATAAATATGTAGCTCAACTAGCTAACTTGAGTTTCACACCGTTTTTTGTTAGAAAAAAATCAAATTGTTCCACAAAACGTCAGAAATTTGCACTGTCATGAACAAAGTTTTTGATTTGTTGAGTTAACCCTCTGAGGTCCAAAATATAACTGGCTATTTTTGACTCCTTTTGATTTTACATTTGTATTTCACCTTTAAATTGCTTCATTTTATTTGTTTGCCTTGCTTGGAATCATTCTTTTCAGCACAACTTCACGTGTCTAAATTTACAGTTATTTTTTCATTGACATACTGTATTATCACAACTCATCTGAAATCACACAAAAGACAATAAAATCCTAGTAGTAGTTTTTTTTTTACTGTAAAAACCACAGACATGTTTAGTAAATTATTTTTATAACTTGAAATGCAAATATAAATTGTTCATTTTGGAAACCTTATGCACACATTTTGTAAACATATCCAAATATTGATCTAAAAATGCAACCAATACACCTGCTGTCTTTTGTACAACAATTTAAAAATACTACTCTAACTGAACTGAGAGAACAATCAGGTGTCACAATAAGTCATTAGGGCCCTCACTGACACAAAACAAAACAACGACTACACAACAGACTAACTACACAAGACAACGCAACACACTAACTACACACTCCACGCTCAACGTCACAAATCTCCCAAATCTAATCGCTATTGATATCTCTCTCTCTCTGTCTTACTCACTCGCTCGCTCTGTCTCTCCGCCGTCACTCCCAAAACGTGCCCCTCTTCCTAAACAACCAAATCCCACGTGTTGACTTTTTTTTAATTGGTCGACATGGTACATTTTTCCACCAATAGGAAAGAGGTGGCTATTTTTTTTTCTTTACTGTTTTTGCGCTGTCATTAGTAAATGCTTTTTAAAAAACGTGACAATAGTATTTAGAAAAAAGCATTGCTTATGTATGCTTTCTAATCATAAAACTCTGGATTTAGTGGCCTGTCATTAAAATTTAAACACCGGTGTATACTTTGAAGTCAGAACTTTAAACACTGGCTGAGACTCTGCGCGGCTGCAGCTTGATGTCAGCTTATATCAGTCATGTGATCTGGAGGTGTGGCATGTCCGTGGACCCCAGAGGGTTAGTAACACTCACCATCATTCCATTTCCAGAGTGTAACATTCAACCACCTGTGTGAAATCTGAAATTCCCATGGTGTTGTTCAAAATGTGCTCTGGCACAATCATAGGCATCACATGCTACTGAAAACAAAAAGCTATTCTGCGCTATGGGCTGAACCACTTGTTAATTGTGCAGGGGGTGGACACTATGCAATATATTCAGTTTTAGAATTTATATTCACTGTTAACTGTAACTATGCTCAAAGTGTTAATGCTATCTTATTTTAATAAACAACACTGTCATATGCAAAACTAGGGTGCACTTGGTGTGGAAAGAGATCATTTTAGGGTGGCACATACCACCCCATGCCACCCTTCTGGATCCACCCCTGAAGAGAAGGGATGATGGATGTGAAGGAAAGGAAAATATGACACAGCAGAAAGGACTGGGAAATTAAAAAACAGATCAAGCTCTTTGTGTTTTGATTTTAGTTCCTCAGCAATAGAGGGAGATGTGTGAATTATGACAATCAAGTTGATTGATATAGAATGTGTTATTTCAGGTGGAGCTGTCCCTCCCTGTCACATCTGAACACATTTTAACAGACCTAGATGATGTGTTTGAAACTATAAAGGCAGCGATGTTAAGTTGGAGGAGCTACTCTGAATACAAAACGAAGTACAGCAGCATAACCAGCAGTGATCTTGATGTGAATGAGGCAGCGCAGAGACACTCATACCTTTTTCTCTGAGATGTCTCTGGGTTTGGTTGCTTTACTGCAGCCTCTGGGGCCCTGAGGTGACGAAAGCGCCGTTTGCGAGACGGGGCCACATCTGTGAGGTCACTCAGGCTTTCATCCAGTGGTCCCGGAGTCGGTGATTCTGAGAAGAGCATGGAGTCAGGAGAGTGAAAAACAGTAGTCAAACAAAATGAGAGCAATCTTACTATACTGATGATAATCTTTGTACAGTATGGACACCATCTCCTCATTAACCAGGGGGCCAGTCTAAACAAAACATTGTCACACATACAGCAACTATTTACATCTATGTGTTTTAAAAAAAAAAGATTCATTATAAACCCCAGTTCTTTGGATTTTTGTATATATTATGTTCATTTAATTGCCCCCCCTGCAAAAGCAATGATGCAGTCTCTATTTGTGTTTGTTTTCACTGTGTCACGTTCAGTGGATGTCATCTGTAAGTTAATGGTTTGAGTCACAACTAAATACAGGATGAAGGATTGGAAGAAGTGCAGAACAGGTGGTTTTTGCTACTAGTCCCATTGGATTAGCCCACTGAAAGAATCTAACACACATATTTCCCAACCTTAAATGGGATCACCAACTAATCCAATGTTTAAGTAACACATTTTGAACCTTAGCAGCACTTTCTACACTACACAAAACAGACCCATGCAGACACACAGCAACACTACAGTATTCCACGAATTCACTTTACCCCTTCACGCCCCCCTTCCCTACTAGCCATCTGAGTCATTGTCGTGGCAACAGAAAAAACACAAATGGTGCAAGTTTTGCCTGGTGATGGGAAGGGAAAGCCCAACAAGGAAAACAGCATCCAAAAATTGTTGACGTATAAAAAAGAAATCTAATCTGGAAGTAAACCATTTCAAAGTGGAAAAATCATGAAAGGCAAAAAGTCCCCTAAAAATCTCTTGCAGTGTCTTTATTGCTAACTTATGTTCACTACTTACACTTACATACTTGGCACACTAATTACATCCATGCCATCTGGGAGTAAAAATCTAGTGGCTGATGAAGGGTAATGTCAATGGTAGAAGCTGCTTATGTAATACTATAGTTACTTAAAAAAAAACTTAACTTCACCTTAATTTACTTCATCAAAACCTTTAAAGGAGCTCAAATGATTTGGACCAGAAGGTTTGGCTATGTACAGAAGCAGTGAAATGAATGAGACTTCAACAAAGGTTTGAAAGTCGAAAGGGTGTGGGAAAAAAACCCGAAAAAAACAAAAACAAAAACCTGACCTGTCAGTGACATAGGACACACCAAGTTTTCAAATAATTACACTTCAATATTTGGTAGCACATAAAAGTACTGCTTGTAACATTAATCTTGTTTACAATAGAAAATAAAATAGTGATGTAAAAATCTTCACATTGGTTTTAAATGCTTCTTCAGTGTTAATCTCAATAGTTTAAATGTTTACAATTTAAAAAAACATTCTGAATAAAAATGTTTTTCAGCAAAATAAAGTACAAAACATTGTAAACTATTTCTTCAGTAAAGGTTAGACATGTTTTACTTACAGTGAACTCATAAAAAGTGCAAATAAACCATGGAAAGATAAAATATTTCACTCAAGATGAGACCACAGTAGCATGAAATGGCACCACCTCTAAGCCCTGACTTTCTACAAAAAAACATTCACGGAGAGAAGCAAAACTGGATAATAGCTTTGAACTTAACGCATCACATCATTAGAGTAGTTTGGACGCGGAAGCAGGGTTCATATGTCATCACTTAAAGACCGGATATCCCACCTGCTGTGAATGTTTTAAAGCAGTGCAGTTGTTATTATTATTACTTGTCACATCCCGTTTATGACAGTTAAAAAAATTACATTCATAAAAGAAGTAAAATTGTCTTGTGTAAACTAGAGATGGCACGATACCACTTTTTTATGTCCGATACCGATATCATAAATTTGGATATTGGCCGATACCGATATGAATCCGATATAGTGTTTCTTAATCAATAAAACTGTTTTTTTGGGGGTTTTTTTTAATATCTTGCTGCATTTTGTATAAGTTCAAACTCAAATTACAAACAAAACAAAACACTAAAGCTATTCTGTTATACCTGTATGCAAAAGCTATACTGCACCGAAAATATTTCATAGTTCAGCAATACTGATCAATCTAATGAACTTAAACCTTCTCCATCCTCCCTATTCTGGTATTTTAAAGAGTAAGCAACCTAACTAATAGGGTTGCAAGCTCCCAACAAAAAAAAGGAACCACCCCTCACCCTCCACCTCATGACGCTTAATCGACGTAATCAACTTTAATTTGATGCAGTGTGAAAAAAAATGCAAAGAAATAAATTCTTTTTCAAGAATAATTAAATAGATTCAACATCTTTCTTCAACAGAATTGCAGACTGCACAGATGGTACCTTCCCAAAGGAAAAAGTAGTAAAGCTTACTAGGGTATATTAGACTTAATAGTTACTATATACAGTAATGGACTTCTATACGTTTTACATAAGATTAAAACTTTGGGTGTAAGATTCAGATAATTATTTATTAAAAGCTAGATATTTTAAATGAGAATAAGAAAGAAAAGTATGTCTTTGTGCCCCCTTTTCCCTGTTAGCCCCACTGGCTAAATTTTGCTAGATCCGCCCCTGCACAGTTACCAGCCGTCAGCTACGTAGAAAAGGATCCTGGTGTACAAAGTAATATTAAATAAATTCTAACAACAGCTTATCAAGCTTAAACGTGCTGCTGTTGTTCAGCCGCTGGTTTCCTCTTTCTGGTGTGAAGTGGGCCAAAAACAAGCAAGAGAGACAGACTTGCGACAGAAAAGCCGATCAGCTGATCATTGATCAGTTTCACGATTGAAGTAGCAGCAGGAGAGGGAGGGGAGAGAAGAGGCAGTCGCTCCATATATCGGTTGTTCAGCTTAACGCGGGAATGCTTTAGAAACATTCAGAGATGAACTTACACACTTGCTTTACTTCTCTCTGCGATCACTTTCTCAGAGATGAAATGCCAATTTGGTAGCGAGGCTCCAAATGCTCAACCAGACCACGACAGGTCTCGCACGCCACAGCCGCTCTATCAGGTGATGCATACTGCTCCGACGTGCTACAGTTATGAGCCGAGTTATGCCATGTCGCAAGTTTTGTGAGGTGCTTTTTTGATATTTAATGGATCGGATTGCATTTTTTATTTCTCTCTGATATCCAATCCAGTAATTTAGGTCAGTATCGGACCGATACCGATACGTAATACCGGATCGGTCCATCTCTACTGTAAACTGTATATGGTGTTAAATAGGCCTATACTATTGTACTTTAATGTTGTTCATAAAGGTGGTACTTTAAGAGCCATATATTTTATGAGGTGGTACTCATTGTGAAAAGTTTGAGAACCAATGTACTAGAGGTTTTACATATTCTTTCCAATGCAACTTTTCATTGTCACTCAAAGTACCAAGCATTTGGAGGAGCGTCCTATAGAACCTCTCAACGGCATTGGCTCTGGGATGATACAGTGTTGTACGTATCTTTTTCATGCCATCAATCTTGCATAGTTTGCTTATTGTGTTCAATTCAAAATCGGGGCCCTGATCGCTTAAGTCTGTCTGGGACAACGTTATGAACAATAAACTTTTCCCAGAAGACTTTTGCAACAGTGCATGCTCATTGATTGGGTGTAGGGACAGCCATTGCGAACTTAGTGAAGTCATCGATCATAACTAATACATCTTTTGTGTTAGACTGCTCTGACTCAATAGATAGATAAACTATAAAGAGTAACTCAAGGGGACTACCTGTCTGAATGTTCATGAGAGGGGCTGCCCTCTCACATCTACACTTCCGGCAGACATCACACTCACACACACTGATCAAGTCCTCTGCTAGCAAATGCTATGGCCCTCAACTGTCCATCCTGAAGTTGGTAAAGAGCTGCATCAAGGTCAATGGTACTAGCGTCCGTGTGGAGGATATATGGGAGTTTGAGGCCTGCAAAACCCAACACTGGGGCTGAGGTAAACGTTCAAACAGATCATTTGTGAGTCCATCTCTGGCCAAATGGCTCTTTTGGTATACAGACCTTTATTGCTTTGTGGATCTTTTCTTCCCCTTTTTTATTGGTAGGTAACCGGCGGTTAGCTCATTTAATGGCCTTAAAATGTTAGAGTAGTCCTGGATGAATCCCCGCTAATACCCAGCAAAGCCCAAAAAAGATCCTTAGCTCCTTAAAGTTGGTGGAGATGGGCCAAGTTGTGAGGGCTTTGATTTTCTCTGTATCTGTTTCGACTCCATACTCTAATGCTATATGGCTGAGGTACTTAACTGAGATATTTAAATATCTCAGCCGGGTGCTAATTTCAAGCCAAACTTTTTCAATTTCAACAGGACTCTCTTCAGACACTGCTCATGCTCTTCGAGGGATAACAAGAAAATAATGAGATCATCAATAAAGACGAGGACCTCCTTACGATTCATCAGACCCATACACCGCTCCATGAGCCTTTGAAATGCTTATTAAATTCCCAGAACCCAAAGGGATACATTAAGGCAATTTTCTGCTTGTCTGACTCCAACATTTCAATCCGATAGTATCCGAACTTGAGATCCAAGACTGAGAACCATTTTGACCCTGCCAGAGCTGAAAATGCTTCCTCTAGATTGGGAAGTGTGTATGCATCTTTATGGTTTAGAGGTTTAGCCTCCTTTAATTGATGCACAAACTACCAGACCCGTCCTTTTTCCTGACAACTACAATTGGGGCGGCAAAAGGAGATTCAGATTCTCGTATCACTCCAATGTCGAGTAGTTCTTGGAGGCGTTTCCTCACTAAGCTTTATTTGGTGGTGTACTTTTTCTGTCTGTCCAAAATCTAACTCATGCTGTGAAAACAGTTCTGGCACTGAATTAAGCATATTTGTGACACAATCTTTCCATTCAGCAGACAAGTTACTTCCAAAGTCAAAACTGATCTTTTTAGACTGAGTACGATCTTCTGACTGGTCTGAGGGTTTTGGCACCTTCTCTATTTGTTCTGTATGTAGGACTCAGGTTAAGGCATTAATGTTGGCTAGCACACAGCCTGAAGGGACAACAACGTTGTGATTGGTTTCATTTTTAATATGATTGGCAGTTAACAGGGCTTCTTAGCTGGCAGGTTAACAACACCAGTAGACCACTGGGGAAGGGAAAGGCTGATGACTGTTCAATAATGGCTCACCTCTCATTAATGGAGTCGGGGATATACACTGAGGCTTCCGGAACTGCTGTCTGCCCTGCTTCCACCACACATTTAAAGGTGTTTATTGAAGTCATTACATGGACGCACACTACTCTGCATTGCATAACTGCTAACTGAGGTCATGGTTAGTTTCTGAGTAGGAAAACAAAGTCTCTTGATAGTCCAAACACACTTAGCTCCCACAACAACAGCTCCCAATGATGTATTTTAAGCCATAGCTGACAAGTCAAAGTGTGGAAATGCCCAACGTTTGCTGGTTTGCCAACTTTAGAGCAATAAATGTGAAGGTAGTGGTGTTTCAGACCTGCTCTCAGTGACATGTCACACTCATCTTAGCAGGTGTTTTCCATCAGCTAGCAAAGTAAAAAAAACAACAAAAAAAAAAACGGTAAAAGCACTTCTCCGCCAAACTCCAAAGCACAAAAATATGTAAGTAAGACTCAGATTAAAATGGACATGGCTTCATGATTTTTTTTATATTTAATAATATATGTGCAAGATCTAAAAGTAGACAAACTGAAACCAGTAAAAGAAATGAAATTTCCTGAGAATACATATGAGTGAGGAGAAAAAGTATGCAAACCTGTAGGATTACCAGCAAATTTATAGCAGAAATTAGAGTCAGGCCTTTTAATCAATGGGATGATCCAGTACAGGTGAGCACCTTGTTTTTATTCAACGAAATGACTTGAAGATCGGCATTACCCTCTACGTGAGTCAGGGAGGTCACGAAGGAAGACAAGGTAACTCTGAAGGCCCTGAGGTTCTCTGGTGTTTAGGGCAGGGCTAGAAGGAGAAAGCACTGCTCTCCAAAAAGAACGCTGCTACTCATCTACAGTTTACTAAAGATGACATAGATGAGCCACGAGACAATGTTCTGGATGGATGTGGCCAAAACAGCATGTTTACTTTAAATAAGTGTTCAGTTTGGAGAAAAGACAATAACAGAATTTGGCATAATTACATCTGTAAAACATTGTGGTGGTATTATGGTTTTTACCTGTTTAGTTACCACTAAACCAGAAAAGCTTACCATCAATGATATTAAAAGCTAGGAATCTTTCAGTAAATTCGCAAGGAAAATATCCTGACATCTATTTATGAACTAAAACAAGTTGGTCATGACAAAAGGAGCACAAGTACCTCCTCAAAGTAATGGTTTAACAAGAATGTTTGGAGATTAATTTAAGAGATTAATTAAGAGATTAAGATTAAGTTTACTTGGTTATTTAATTTTCTGTGGCAGCTTCTAAGAGCAGCTCCCTCTTTTCTTATTGACGTTGTGCCACAAGGTTCTGTTCTGGGTCCTTTACTGTTTCTGTTATATCTGTGACACACTTACACACTCTTCTACACACTTTGAGCCTTTTTAAATACACTTCTTATCACTGCTACACAGATGAGATTTAGTTGTACGTCTCTTTTAATCCCCAAGATACTTCTAATCTATCCCGCATAGGCGCTTAGACTCTATTAATAGTTATTTGGATGACAATTTTCTCCAACTTAATGAAGAGAAAACAGAAATTCATTTTTTGTATCCCTGACAGATTGATGGCTAAGGTAATGGAAACTCTAGGTCCTCTTACCTCTTGTGCTAAATCTTCAGTTCAAGAACATTGGTGTAACTTCAGACTCAGTTTTCACTCTGGGTGTTCAGGTTGAGGGCCTGCTGCCTGTGCATCATACAAGGCTGAGAACTAAAGCAGACAGAGCTTTTGTAACCCCAGACTCTCGAAGTCTCTTCCTCTGAGCTTGAGAACAGTCGATTCTCTTTTTAAAAGCAGCTAAAAACTCACCAACAATGATTCCCAGTTTGATTTTTAGCAATTTGTTTTGATGTTTTGACGAAATTGTACTTAATTGTTTTTTCCCCAGTGTCACTAGTCTTACCCAAACTGGAGGCTGGAGTCGACTGCGTCTCCACTGGGTCCTCATCAGTACTGCCGCCATAATCATCCTCTTCAACACCATCATCCTGACCTCTTGTCTGACCTGACTTTACTGAGTCTTTCTTTCGTTGGTCATTACTCCTGTATCAGAAACCATACATTATACATGATTCACTGCTTAACATAACTTTTACAACAAAGAAATCAGAGGAATGTTGTAATTAAGGAAAAATACCCTTGACCTGTTTAATAAGCAATTATGGCATATATTTCATTTTAAAAAATGCTTGCCTTAAAACTCACAGCTAAAAATCTACTTTTTAAACATTTGGAAAAGCTTCAGTGTTTGAGAGTCAATGTGGTATAAGCAGTGCACCTCATTTCCTCCAGTTTTGTGACATCCTGCTGTAGACTGCGGATCTTTGCTTTCTTCTCATTCAGAACCAGGACAAACCGAGAGTAAAGCTCTGCCTCCAGGGCTTCCTTACCACCAATGTAACGCTTCAGTCTTAAATGTACAGAAACAAAAAAGTTCTTTAGCAAACCCAAATATACTAATTAGTCTGTGTAATCTGGCTTCATGGAAAGATCAAGTTGGTGAAAATGTATGCCATGCCTTCTGATGATACTGCCTAAGGGAAGCATGTATATTTTAAATAGAATTGGTCCTAGCACGGAACCCTGTGGAACTCTATTGTTATCCTTAGTGTGTGAAGAGGACTTTTAATTCCTAAGGAGATCATTTGTAACCTGTACTAGAGCTGTTTCTATCCTGTAATGAATTTTGAAACCTGACTCAGCCTCTTCAAATATAATAATGTTTATGGTGACTCAGGATTTAGTACAGTCTACTAGTGTAAAAGGCTGAGAGTAAAAAACAAAACAAAACATAAATTACAGTCCATTTAACATGGACTAAACTAGATGATCATATTAAAAATGCTGACACTTTATGACATTATATAGAGCCACGGATAGAAAACAAAACATCTGAAACAGAGTGTGCAGTGACAGGAAGACAAAGCAACAGTTTTGGTGTGGACCAAAATTAGGGATGGGTATCGTTTAGGTTTTATCCGATACCGGTGCCAAATCGGTATTTTTGAAACGGTGCCGGTGCTCAAACGGTGCTCAAACCGGTGCTTAAAGGATGGAGAACACAAAATTGGTCCAAAAACCTCTCATGTTCAGCTGGTTTTTTGTAAAAAGATAACAATGTTAGCCTTTTCTGCAGCTATGGGGCATATATGGTATCACTCTTGGCTGGAAGCAGTGCTTAAACAATGGAAAAAACACAAACTTTATCCAAAAACCTCTCATGTTTAACTGTTTTCCACTTTTTCTTTGGTCCTTTTAGCCTTTTTGGCAGGGTGAAGGGAGTATCTGCCATCAAACAAGAAGACAGCTGCATGTAACTACGACGGTGTTTGCTAGTTCACCATACATGCATTAATGTAATAACGTGGTTAGCCTACTCAACGTAAATGACACACGAACAACATTAAGCTACTCACGCAGAGAAGAACGGCTGCTGCTGCATCATCATCCGTCATCATTTCTGCTACACTGGCAGGGCTAGGGGCCAGGACTCTCCTCTTCGGGGTTTTTGGGGGATGTTGCTAACTCCGGGTCAGATAACAGGCAACCCACGCAGAGTAGATGCGCTCAATGTGAGGTCTCGCAGCAAGCTATCATACGGCGCATTTCTCGGCTTTAAAAAAAACGCTATGCGTCGCCAGGTGTTTCATCGGATTCGAGGTGTTACCTCCTTTGACAGTATCACAGTATCAGCTTAAAGCACTTGTTGCTGCTGAGTTTGCATATTTTGCTGTGAAGTAAAGGCAGACTTTTGACCGCTTCGCCTTGGGCATTTTTAATCTGTAGCTCTGCTCTAAAAGAACGCACTATCCTCGGAAACGTAAAATGATTGGCTAGAAGTGTATCACAGCTCAGGAAAAAAAAAGCACCGAAATAAAGCACCGAAATGTGCGCTGCTTTTCGGTCTGGTTACTACCGTTTATGTCAGAACCGGTGCCATCATGGCACCGGACACCGGTACCCATCCCTAACCAAAATATTCCTGTATTTTCTGTGCACTATGTGCTAGCACAAGATTACATACTCGCACCTTCCAGTTTGTGTGGTTTGGGTGTAAAGTTGACTTTACTGTGATTTTGTATGCATGTGTGTTCATCCATGCATGTACTTACTCTGCAGTGATGTGTTGCTGTTCTCCTCGAAGTCTCTCGTTCTCCTCCTGTAGTCTCTGGTTGTGGTGCTGCAGGTTATTTCCCCTCTGCAGACTGTGAATCAGTAAATTTCTCACTGCCTCTGCTGGCTCTGGGACGGCCTTCAGCAGAACGCAGCCCAGCCTGAACTGGAAGAAAGGAGTGAAAAATCAACCAAACAAACTGACTTGTTTAGTTTTGTAAAGGCAGTCTTTGTGACCTAAATATATGTTTTTAGAGCTACAACTACCAAGCTGTGGTGTTCTCATGGACCTGTATTACTGGCACATGTTCATAACGTATTTATCCAAAATAACTGACAGATGATTTGATATTCTTGATAAGATCTTTGGGATGTCATAACCATATCATAACATGACAGCCCTACTACCAAGTATTTCATTACTGATGAACTACTAAATGTATTTTGAGAGGTTAAATACTAAAGAAAGGCTATCAGAGAGAGTGAAAACTTAAAGAATGAAATAAAACTCTAACCAAAACTGTCTGATTTGACAGTATTAAAGTTTAACTACTATGTTTAATTTGAGGTTATGGGCCATCTCACTCATATCACAAGCATAGTGATCAGTGGCCTCTGGGGAACAAACGTTTCTCTCAAACATGTTTGCATTCACACAAAGACATGGAGCACAAATGTGGGTATCAGCTCTAACTTCTGACCCCTGTGATCCACAGCTCCATAAATAACTCTGTTTCATGGGGGAAGTAATAGTTGTGTGTCTCCAGACTGGATAAGAGAGATAACCAGCAGAAAATCAACACCAAATGCTGATATACTATCCTCCACGTACTGTTTTAATTGAGTCGCAGTTCCTGGATTAATCATTTGATGCCAGCGTAAACTACCCACAGACTACAATGTAAAAATACTCAGCTTCACAGCATTAAAAAGCATCTTTAAATCCTGGCACAAACCAAAGAAATAAAAAGTGTTTTATTCTTTAAGGATAGTTTTCCCCTGTGTTTCAATCAACACAGCCACAACGCAACTTTAAGTATCAACAAAGCCAATTGTGGTGAGTTACAGTCACAATTCGGCTCTTGTTCGGGTTGTATGAAGGGAGAATTACGTGACAAACAATCTTTTCTTCTCTGAAGTGGAAGACTTTACATTTCACTATTTACTCACTATTTCCTCGCAGTACATTTGAGGAACTGCAATTTCTACTGAATAGACAAACCAGTAATTTATCCCTTCCTGCATTTCCACACTTTCTGTTTTTTCTGTGTCTAACCTTTGCCAGCTATTACTTCATCAACTCTTACAAATGGTAAGTAAATAACATGTGACTGAAATATTACATATTGAAATGAAAATGGTTTTTCTAAGACGCTCTGGGAAAAACGTTCTAGTTATCTTCTCCTTGTATTCACTGAGTTAGTATTGTGCTCTTAGTCATCATAAGCCTACCTCCAACTGTTACCTGAGGGTTTATGTGAGGGGCAGTAGGTTGTAAAGCTGCTAATCAAACTGGATGTTGTTGACTGGTTTTAGGCACCAGCAGGCCAGCTGGACACAAAATATTGAGAGCAACAGGTTTCCCATGTCATCATAGCAACAGTACTGTTTGTAACTCTGACTCACTGATTCACATATTCACATAAATTAACAGCTAGACACTTTTATTTCAGGACTGGTCCCCCACTTACTCCAAATTTACAACCAAGAAGAGTGAATGTTGCATTTCTCCTTTATCCCCCCACCTAATAGTCCAACACTAAAAATCTAAGATGTATTCCCATTAACAACTAATAATATTAATAATGGATTGCATTTATATAGCGCTTTTCTAGACAGTCAAAGCGCTTTACAATTCCACCATTCATTCACCCTCACATTCACAATTTTCCTGAGAAATGGTAAATGGACTGATACTTACATAGCACTTTTCTACCTGGAGCACTTAAAGCACAATTTACTACAAGCTTCATTCACCCAATCACACACACATTCATCCACATGCTGTTTTCTGTACGCAAGCTCCTTATCTAATATTCACACACTCAAAACTCAGGTTTCAGTATCTTGCTCAGGAATACTTCAAAACGCTGGAATGGTAAACGGCCCGCTCTACTACCTAAACCACAGCTGCATAATAGCTTACAGCACCTGGTATTCACCCATCTGACCCTGCTCAGCTTCTGAGATCAGATAAAACTGGGTGCGCAAATAGTCAGATACAAGGACTGGAAGGAGTGAAGAGGAGAGAAAATGCAGCCAGTGTCCAAAGATACCATCTAAAATACTAAAGTTAGGTGCTCCCTGAAGTGGTTGACTATTTCCAAGTGTGAGACTCATTTCTGGGCTCTGCTGGCAATCAGCAGAGCTTGACAGGAGCAGAAATAGGGAGACATTACAGTGAAGGCTCATGTTATGACTCAAAACCTTATGACAGATGAATAACTGGGCTTTTCTCTGTTGCGGAAGAAAAGCCTTGGTCACCTCTAATAACACATTGCTGCACACGTCAGTAAACTGACACATGGTACTTTCATTATTTTTTTTTAATTGCAACATAGATTCATTTCCCTTTTGCTGTTATGGAAGCACTCAACATTTCCATTTTTTTCACAACTACGATGAGAACATAGGCCCTGTGTCTAAATCTTGTACGTGTATTCACACAGTGAACCTTTACAGAAGCATTACTCAGTCAACTGCCAAATACCATCACTCCGTCTGTCGAAATATGAAACACCAGCAGTGCAAATATACTAAAGGTCATATTTCATAAAGCCACTAATCGATATTAAATGTGAAGCCACAAACCAAGAACAAAGATTCAAATGACAAAGAGCAACTGAAAATACAAGAAACAAATCAAAAAGATTCATAAAACTACAACAAATAACCACAAAATATGAAGAAAGAGACAAAAATAAGCACACTACAGAGATACACAATAACCACAAAAAGACAAAAAAATACACTGAGGAACCATGACAACCAGAAAACATGGTAGTTTCATTTAACCTGCAGAAAAGTAGTGCAAAAGTCAAAATACAAGGCTTGCTGACATTTAAATAAGTCTTTTTCACTTTCATTTCTGTGTTTGCGCGTGTGCAGTGTGAGAGGTTGCTTTGATACCATCACGACGGGCGACAGGATTTCAAACACTGTTTATCTAACCCACTGCTATCTGGGTGTCATAGTGAGATATTAGGTCTAACTCATTCATGAGTTAGACATGCAGCACTTACTGAGATATCCTTCTGCATCTTCTCATATGTCAGTGTCAAAGTGGAACTGTGACCTGGGGGATTAGGTGTCAAAGTGAAGTTGTAGGTGTTGGAGTTTTCTCTCCCTGTAAAGGCTTGCTCCACGTCCTCGATATATCTTTCCAATGGCATCTCCAGTTCCTCTGCCTCATTGCACACCACTTCACCCCTCACTGTATAGGAAAAAATAAATAAAAAGAGAATCATGTCTAAAATTTAAATTAAGAAAAAGATTATCCCAAATCCTCTAGCAGCTAATTCAGCATGTTACTCAATGAGATGGAAACAGTGTTGATTTTTGAGGGAAAAAAAAGTGTACAGTGGGCACATTTAAGTTTAGCAACATCAGAATCTGTTGCTGTTAATGAATTGAGGCTGGAACCTCCAGTGCTAAAAAGTGCAGCCACACGTTTAGTCCAGATTGGACAATGTATGCGTGAATTAGAGCAAATAAAATTTGATGGCAAATAATTGAAATTTGCCAGGGCGCCACAGCCACGCCCTTTGACAAAAACTCAAAAGATCTACAATTCAATATTGCCTAGGTCTGCAGTTTAGACTGACCAAATGTGAAGTTCATCTGATAAAACCCCAAGGAGAAGTTCTCGAAAGTACAACAACTGGAAATGGTCAAAGCTGTGCCAAAACTCGAAGTGGCGGTCTTTCTGTTGGCTTTGGGACATGGGTCTATCGGACCCATGGATTTGCATGTTACACACGTGTACCAAATTTCATACAACTATGTGAAACCCAGCACGGGGACGTAATTTTTCCTCACTGTGCAGGGGGGTTTTCCGAGCCATTTTGCCCCACCCATGTCTGAAACAAAAATAATAATAAAATTTTCACCAGACTTGACACGTGTGCAATACTTCATGAGTTTTTAAATATGTTAAACCCCCCAAAAAGCCCCTTCATTTGCTTTAATAATTACAATAATGAATGGAGTGATTACAATAAGGCCTTCACATATTTCGTGCTTGGGCCCTGAATGATTTTGATAATTACTGTAAATACAGGGCTGCTGTGGTATAAACGTTGCACTGTGTGTTGATTTAATACATTTACTAAGCACTGTGTACATCCCAGAACCACCAACTTTCCCATTAGTAGATGACCTGTCCTACATCCTGAGCTACAGCTATCCCTCAAATCAGTATGTTACAAATTACTGATTTAAGTTTCACATATATTTCAAGAATCGTTAGTTTCTGAACTGAATCAACCAAAAAGGTCATTCAGTTCCTCTGAATACAGCGGTTTTCAGTGGTTTATAGTCATCTGGTTTTTAGTCATCACTCATCCAACTGACTTCTTGACCCTCTTCAGATTCAGACTGTAGAGACGGAAGAAGTCACTTGGGTCTAGATAAATGGTATCAAGGATTTTTGTCTGAATTACTGAGCTTGCAACAAAACATTCTTTGTCTTTATTTTTTGCATTTAGCATTTTCTAAACTAATTTTCAGCTTAGCGTGCAGCAGCTTTCTGAAGAACAAACTAAATTCATCTATCAAAGATATAGCAAAAACTTTCAGAATGGCCAAGTCAGCTACACCAGAACAGCAGAAAACAACTTGGCCCCGTCACACAGGCCCAGAAGCCCATTAGTGACCCCTTGGTAACCACCGGTTGATAAGGAAAAATGTATTTTCAGGAATGATTAGCAGGTGGTTACTGGAGGTTGCCAGCAGTTGCTCAGTGAAATTGGTACCAATTTCCAATGTCCCAGGCAACATTTATCTCAAAGGACTTTAAGCCTTTGAAGTTTATCTTGAGCCTCTGAAAACTGAGGACTGTGTATAAAAATGGCATGTGATGTAAAAGAGGTAAGAGTGTATAATATAAGGTAATAAACTGTGAAGTCATGCTGAGTGATTTTTGTTTTTACCTTCCCCTCTCCATGCATCTTGTCCATCAGTAAGCAGCAACTGGAAGCCGGTACTAAAGTTGCACCCTTCCCAGTCCACCCGCAGGAAGTAGGAGGTGTCTGAGCAGAGATTAATTTCACGCACTGACGTGTGCATCCCTGCAGACAGACAGACCAAAAACTGATTAAAAGATCACTTAAGTTTTCCGAGTACTTTAATAGGTACTTACTACTGGATTTGGTTAACATCATTTCATTACATCAAACCTTTCAATGGCCCCACGTGTGAGGTCAGCATGACAGAAATGTTTGATTACAGGACAAAGACGATCACTCAGAACAACTTTGTACTGATTTCCCTTTGAGGCTGTGGTGTCCAAACCCAGGCCTCAAAGGGCCGGCGTCCTGCTGTGTAGACCCAGGGTGAGATCTAAAACCTGCACGACACCGGCCCTCGAGGCCTCGAGTTGGCCAAGCCAGCTTTAAGGGATTAAGTGGAGAGGACATACCACCTAAAAAAATAAAATAAAATAAAAAAGATTCCAGTCTGTAATTGTCTTTTCATTGAAGCGCATTTCTGGATTCCCTCATCGAGCAGCCACATGCTTGTGCTCTTCATTAGAGAAAAAAAAATTGACAATGTTTCTATCCACTGTACTTGACCTGTAACTGTACTTGTCAAAGTGGTCAATAATTTTTTTTATTTTATGACATAAGGAAATATAGATAGATAGAGTGAGCTTGTCTCATTTTGCAACTCTTCATCATTCTCTCACATAAAGAAATTAAGAAACCACGAAGAGGTTCGTGAATGCAAAGTATTTTTCGGAAAATAAAATAAAATGGTTTTTACTTCTTTGCTTTTGTAAATTTGTAATTTTCTGTATGACCATGGTCTGATCATTATTGATGTAAATCTTTTGAAACTAAAGCTAAAACTGGCTCTTTAAAAGCTAGAGACTGTTAGCATGGGGATTGGCAGACCTGACGACTGGATGCGTTTCAGCAGGAGCAGAGTCCCAGGTAGGGGATGGGTGTCGTTTTGTGGGCATGCTTGATGTTGCCTTACACATGTTCCAGTGCCCCGTCCCACCAGTGTCCTGCCGGTGTAAACGTATCTAATATTTCATGACGCATAGCTGAGTTCCCGGGAAGAGGAGAATGGCAAAAAAACTTCTAAGACCAACAATTTAAAGACTGAAAAGCACAGATAGTGGATGCAGCAGACACTTCTTATTATTTTTAACACTCTGCTTCAATTCAGCTCTTTGTATGTTATGACTTCGTTCTTTTCTGCGGGTGGCTTACGGACCAACAAAACCGTAAGCAAGAGCTGCCCACAGACCAGCTGTAGCACATACTTTGTACACTGCCTTCATCTGACAACAGATGTCACTCGGACATCTGTGCAGTCAAGATCTTGAAGGACTGCATGCCAGCTCTTCTCACATCGGTGAAAACCACCTCTCCCCTCCTCTGTCCAACCAAATAATGTACAAATAATATGACCAAATATGACCAGATAATGGTCATAAATTTACAGGACCATAAATCCCAGACAAGCAGGAAAGCCCAGACCTTCAACTTGTCAGCGACCTCCTCCAGCTTATCCAAAGAAACATCGAAGCACTCCCAGGCCATCCAGTATATATATTCTCTGGGTCTAGTCAGGGGTCTCCGCCGGAGCCTCGTCTCACTAGGACATGACTAATTGGAATACTTTATCCAAGAGGCGCCCACCTCAGCTGACTCATTTTGATGTAGAGGAGCAGCGGCTCTACTCTGAGCCTCTCTTGACTAACTGAACTCACGCTGTCACGAAGGGAAAGCCCATCCACCTTTCACAGAAATCTCATTTCCACTGCTTGTATCCATGAAGATGGATAGTGCCAAAAAAAACAACTGACAAAGAACAGTCACAGGTAACAGAGCTGGTTTTATTTAAAGTTTTCTTTGGTATGCGGGGAGACATTGACATGCAGAGTTGAAAACAGTCGTAATTTTTCAGTGGAATAAATTTCTTGTACTGCAACCTTTAACAGCAATAGTTTTACGACAGGTTTTGCAAATTTGCAAATTGTTCGACATCCTCCTTGTAAAATCCAAACGACAGCTAGTCTAATTCCTACAACAATGCTCCATCTCGTGGTAGATGGTTGCATAACATTTAGGACACAACAAGGTATCAAAGGGTATTCACTAATTACCAAATAATAAGTATCTAGTTTCATTCCAACCTAGGGAAACAAAAAATACATCAAAACTAGAAACCAAAATAAAAGAAATGAATTAACCTCACTAAAAAGAGTCAGTTGCTATAAGCATAGGCATGGCTGGATGTCTCAGCTTCACATTAATTTCTCTGAAGTTGTGGAATTCAGCCCTTCTTTTTGTCACAAAAAACTGGCAGACATCAGCAGTGAGCAAACTCATTTACTGTTTAGTTCAAGCCAAGATGATTAAAAGCGAGCTTGTGTCAATAGGATCTAAACAGCAGAAGCTTTGACTTTCTACAGGTTTTTCAAGCCAGGGGTGGCTCAGGTGGTGGAGCAGATCAGCTACTGATTGGAAGGTTGGTGGTTCGATCCTTGGCTTCCCCAGTCTGCATGGGCCCAAATATCCTTGGTCGTGTGAATGTTGGTTAGTTTGCACTTGTGTTTAGAAGTGCTTGTATGAGTGGGCGTGAATGGGGTGAATGAGGCATGTTGTGTACAGCGCTTTGAGTACTCCGGAATATAAGAATCAGTCCATGTGGGTCTACTGGAGACCTGTCCTCACACTGTCTACAAGACTGCTTTTCGATTTGGAAGAGTGCTGCTATTTTTGCACATCACACTTCAGAGCATTAACATAAGCATTTAGTACTGAAGCAGATGTTGGAAAGATGTAATTAAAGGTGCAGTGCTCTCAAACATGTGTCTGGCTTCATGGTGCTGTTTATCAATCCAACAACCTTCTCCACTGCACACAGCCTGTGTTTAGACCTAATTAAAGGCTGTGTATCAGTGCATTAGAGCAGTTACATAGTTACACAGTTATGATAACATGGTTGTAAAAAGCTCAACTTAGCCATGTTGCCACTTTAGCCAATACAGTAGCCAAAATTGACATCGCATTTTATGTATGTGACTAGAGGCCGGTTATGCTTTATAATTTATTTTAATTTAAAGATCACAAACAGAATTGGACCCTTGGAAAGCCTTAAACATCACCGACTCTTAAACATCAACACAGAATTTTACAAACTGAAAAAGGAAAAATAAAAACTTGAGCAGACTCCCTTTACATGTATTTTAGCCCAGTCCATTGTAAATGGCTAACAATCACTTACACTCACTTTCATGCCTATGATCATTTTATAATGACCAATCACAGTAACATTGATGTCATTGTACTGTAGGAGGAAGCTGGATTAGTAGAAGAGAGCCCACAAAGACACAGGAAGAATATGAAGAACTCCAAACAAAAAGACCGCAGCAGGGTATGGAACTTCTTGCTGTGAGGTAACACTGCTAACCACTGCATCACTATGGCTTCCTCCATGAAACACACAACAGTAATTTAACAAAACCGACTCAATTTAAAAATAGAAGGTGACACACTAACTGTGTCTGATCTCTTTTCCAGATCGTCAGGCTCCCATATCTCGCTCCTGTCAGGTTACAGCTGAATAATTAGCTTGACGAAAATTTGAGTAAATGATGACAACAGACGTCATAAAATAACATATATAGAGCTCCACTGACGACGGCTTTTACTCACGCACGCAGGTGAACAAGGTGAACATACTCTAAGTTGATTAAATTTACTCTGATCAGCTGTTCTCAAACAGAAAATTCAAAGTTGCCCATCTCAGAGGTGATCAACTCAGAGTTTAATTTTAAACTCAGACTTTGTTGAACAGGATTTCTAGTTACAGAGCAAGTGTGCTGAGCAGCAACATTTGGGAGACTAATATATGTACTAAAATCCCGTTCGTTTAATGTTTTCTCACAGTCCACTCTAAGTATTAGGATGTATGTCCAAACAACTGTCCCATGAATGATTAAAAGAAATGCGCTCCTTCTCACAGTTGGACGTCTGTTTCCGAATCAAACAAACTTCTTGGTGCTTCTTGCAGCAAACTCAGTCTCAACTATTAAAACGCGTCAGCGATCTTTGCTTTTCCAAGACTGGCGGCAACTTGAGGTTTACACTGAGAACAGATCCCGCGACTGCACTGTATGCTAACATGACAAGAACAAGCAGCTAGCAAGTGCTAGCGAGCTCAGCTCAGAGTGAGACACGGGTTGTTTGTAAACACAAGCACGAGGGTAGAAGCGCTCCTTCACATCTATATGAGAACAGCACATCTATTAATGCCCTACCTTCAGCGCTTCAGCTGCACCTTTATGCGTCCGCCAATTTGTTTTGGGTTTTTGTTGACAAGCTGCACCGGGAACGTGGATGTACGTCATCACCCAGCGACATCCAGCAACCAAACAGATGAGGTGTGTGTGTGTGTGTGTGTGGTAAGAATGATGGGAAACTACGAAAATATCACTAAAGACTCAAGAAAAAGAAAAAAAAATTATACATCTCTCCAGGTGTCCTGCAAGCAAACATTCATATCCTTTAGAACACCTGCTTATTTACTTTCTTAAACATTTTTTTCTGCATTTGCTATATAATAGACCTCAAGTTAGAATATCTAGCTGTTTCATTAAACTATTACCAAAAAATACTGCACATTTGATATAAACAGTTATGTCATGCATACATTTTCTTCCACTTATCTGCAACTGGTTCATGGAGGCTAGTAGCCTAAGCAGAGAACCTCCTTCAGCTTATCCAGTGTCTTCATGCCACATATTTCACACACAAGGACCAGTACTATAGGCAGAAACATGGGTGTGCCATTGGTTCCCCAATTTCCCCCACTGTGACCAATTTGTATATAGAGGAAATGGAAGAGAGGGCTCTGTTATCCTATCCTGGAACACCACTGATTCAGCACATTGGTTCAAGGATGTGTATGACACCTGAGTGAAAATCAAATCTCAGGGTAAAGGTAAGGGTACACCTTTCACCATCTTAAAATGCTGTGACTGCAGCCATTCTCCAACTCTCAGTGAGTGGTACTCATGGCCCTTGATCATTGGCCATTACAATTTGCATATTACTGTTTATGAAACTGAGTTCATGACCCATTGTTAGCCAGTAATGCTAGTTTTGGTTATTATGCAAGTGTACTGTTTAGGTTGGGGAAACCTGCTGTCAACTGAGAGTGAAGAATGGCCTGTATTTGTATAGCGCTTTATTAGTCCCTAAGGACACCAAAGCACTTTACACATCCAGTCATCCACACATTCACACACACATTCACACACTGGTGATGGCAAGCTACATTGTAACCACAGCCACCCTGGGGCGCACTGACACAAGAAGTCACTTAAATGAGTGACGAAATGTTTCTCCCACTAAAAACACAACATCCAGATGAACAGAATCAACTTTCTGGGATATATTACTCACAACATCCAACAATTCAACAGTGTGTTACAGAGGAAATTATATCTGATCCTGTCAGAAAAGTGTGTAAACAGTGAACCAAACTGGGAACATTTTTAACCCAGTGATTTTGGGTGTGTAGTGTGAAGGGTTTGTGGGAAATGCAAATAGATAAACAGGAAGGGATTACTGTTACAGTGAACCCGTTACATTAGTAGGCTCCACCTCAGGGTAGGAAATGCAGCCAAGTAATAAAAAAAGCAAAGAAAACAATGGATCCCACTGAGGCTGAAAGAATAAAAGAGATCAGGCTGGACTGTACACTGCTTCAGATGTATTTGTGTCTGACCTTGTGTAGTTTGCTACTGGAACAGTTTTAGTCCCACAGGAACTTAATTACCAACTGCAAGAAAAACTTTATGGATAGCCTTTTGCTGATACTAAACCGAGAGCATTTGGGTCTGACCTTGTTATAGCTATGAAAGTTTAATTAGACAGTGTTTTGGGAGGGATTTAGCATACACTCATTTCCTGTCCGTTTGGAAACCATGGTTGTCTTTTTTTTTTTTAGCACAGTCCCATTCATGTAGTTATGAACGTCAAGATCAGAACTGAAACTGTACAGGTTACCCCCAAATCAAATCTGTCATACATACATCTCTGAACTTCTGATCACACTTTTAGTAAATCACTACAAAAAACCAGCTGTTGTGGGCTTTTGTGTGTACTTCTATGTGCTTTAACATAGTAGAAAGAACATCAGTGAAAGGACAGCCTCTCAAAGCCATTATTCTTGAAATAACTGCTTACCAAACTTAAATCCCTGTTTTGTGGTAAGGTCTACATTTCAATTCGCTTGAAATTATTTAACTATAAAGAAAACTGTGCTTATTGTGTCCGTTAAACATCAGAGAATTAGAAGTCCTCCAGTTTGTCTTTAAGACTTGGGATGTCTGTATGTGAGGGGGTTAAGCAGGTCATCTACTAATTATTATGTTAATTATAAGGTTATATGTTTTTATTAATTAAAAGCATAAAGTAACCAATCCCACATATCTTGTCATGTTAAACCGCTGTTCTCAAAACTCTTGGTTAATATTTGAACTTATAAGAGGAGTGACAATGGGAAGAAACAAAAAAAGCACCACTAAGAACCGATGGCACAAGATGGCAAATGTAAATGAAAATTAAACTAAAATGAATGTAAATGAAACTGGAAGTTTAACTGGAGTCGATACAAAACTTTAAAAATAATAGCTAAATGGTTTTCAATCAGGATTCACTAACATCAGTCAGACAAATAGCTGAGGCTGAGATACGAACTGAAAAGATGGAAGATTTTGTTCAAAATGTGGAACAGTATAAGATGATAAAAATGATGAAATATCAGGAAAACCAACTACTTGACCAAGAAGGGAGATCTTTAAAGAATAAGAATATTCACTATTCCTGAAGGAATGGAGGGATTTTGTGAAGAAGCTTCTACAAGACACAATGGGGATTCACCTGGCTACAGAGCTGAATATTGAACAAACACATTGGGTGACTACTCCAAAACCCTCTGGAGACAAAATACTGCATGACTTTTAACAGGAACTCTTCAAAGAGAGCATATAACCCCTGTTCTAGCTTCACTCCACTGGCTGCCTGCCTCAATTTAGCAGTTTGGAGACAAAGTTAGAGAGACATAAAAAGACAAAGAAACAGAAAAGATTCATGGATGTAGTGAAGGAGGCCATTATGCTGGAATAGGGGGAGATGGAGGTAGATTCTATGCTAGAAGGAGCAGACAGAAGGAGAACATGACTTGGGTCAGAAACAGATCATAGGTTGGGTTAAATTAATAACAGTAAACACATGTTTTAAAGCTCAATTTTAAGGAAGAGTGGGAGTAGAGTGGCTCGCCTCCTCCTCACAAGTCAAAGTGTCCTTTGGCAAGATACTGAACCCTGAGTTGTCCCTGAAGTATTCATCAGAGTCTAAATGTGTGAGAATGTCAGACAAGGTATAGAAAAAAAGTTATTGTATGAATGTGTGAGTCATTGGGTGAATGAGGCTTTGAGTACTCAGAGTAGAATAGTGCTATATAATTACTAGCCCATGTTTTTTTTTTTACCATCTTATAAATTCAGCACAAATTTCACGTGCATTTATCCATAGAATTGCACTAACACGGTTAGTGTTAGTGGTTAGCATTAACTTTAAAATGAAAGACAAAAAGGACCACTGGCTTCAATCTGCACAAAAAAATATAAAGTGATTACAAAGAGACACAAAATCAAAAAGTCACGCAATTATTAGCAGACAGAAAGACTCCAAAAAGACACAAAAGAGGCAGAAAAAATAAAATAAGACACGAAGATAGATAAAAAGAAACTCAAAGGAGGAAGAATACAACAGCAAAGAAATGCATAAAAAGTACAGAGTGCAAAATATCACAGCACTACAGCAAAGAAACACAAAACAACTACAAAAAAATGTACAAAAATCCATTAGCATCTGATAGCTGTTTGTACCATCGATGCTTGAGCCATGTTGCTAATATATCGAAAAGAGTAGTGTATGATTACTTTTAATGGTGCCATCATTATGGTAGTTAGGGATATGACCTTGAGGTTCTGAAGATTTACGTATGTATGCATGCTCAGAGGAGAACAGGACTGAGGCAAGATGTTGGGCAATTCAAAATCATAAAAACAATACTTGGAGGAAAGGCCCCCTTTCAGTTTCTCTGAAATTGGAACCAGGAGACATAAGAGAATGAAGCCTCTGTGCTTTTGTTATAAGGCACACTCTCCTGTGGATGAAAACTTTTTGGTAAGTTGTGTAATCCTCCACTGTGGGCTGCGAGCTGGCACAGTGCAGGAGCTGTCTGGCTGCAGTTTCACTTTGCCTCCATGAGAAAGAATCCAGCTGTGTGCAGACTGTGTGTGTGTGTTTGGGGGAGGGGGGGGGTCTTATGAGGGTAGCCACTCTCCCCCACTCACTCTGCTATGATTTACTGTGTCACAATTTCCAGAAACTATCCTTCCTATGAGCAACTGTGTGAAAAATATACTATCATTAACATGCAAGCATATAAAACAAATATACATTTGTCATAATTTCCTGTGTAAGACTTTTCTTTGATTAACTCTTTTGGAAGTGAAGCCAAGATGTTAACCTAACCCTAACATAAACAACATGTGCAGTACCAGCCAAATCTGTTCCACAGAGGCATTAAAGTCCATTATTGTCACAGAGAGAGACCAACTCAGACTGCATGATCCAGGTTTAACCAAAACCATAGCTGTGAATAGGTGAGAGAAATGGCAGAGAAAGAAGAGGAACACAACACATCCAGGTAAAGCAGAGATGTGGCTGATGAAGATGGAGAAACAGAGGACTTTATGATCTAATTCATGAAATCAGTTTAACATACAATTGTGATTAGTTACAATTGACTAATGCATATGAACGTAAGACTGTGGTTGCATTATCTTAGACACGAGCCACAATTCAACCGTGCATTAGTGTATTACTGTAGGGTCTTTACAACATAAAACGACTTAAGGCAACTGTTGTCACTATTTAAATAATATTGAACTGAACTGCATGGGGATGAGTCAATGTCATCATTGTGCTCCACTACTTAATGTAAGTGTGTTGCTTCTTTTCATTGAGGTTTGTGGGCATTTGTTCATACACAGCTCAATGAAGGTCCCATCACAGCCTTTCAGGCGTACGGGCGTGTTTGAGGTCTGGACTTTGACTGGACCACTGCAGCACTGATTCTTTCTTTTTTCAGTTATTCTTTTGTAGATTTGCTGCTGTGCTTGCATTTACTGCCCTGTAGATGACCCAGTTTCATACAGATGGCCTCACATTTGACTCTAGAAAACTTTGGTTCATGCTCCGCTCAGTGACTGCAAGGTGCCCAAATCATCCTCCACCACTGTGTTCACAGCTGGTCTGAGGTGTTTGTGCCATTACTCCAAACGTGCTGCTGTTACTATGGACAAACATCTCTTTGGTTTTATTGTTCCAGAAGTTTTTAATGTTTTGTTTAGATGCAGCTCTGCAAAGCTACACTGTGCTTTTACATAATTTCCTTAGGGATTAATAAAGTATTCTGATTCTGTGCTGACATGTTGCTTTTAGAAGTCATAATTGCACAAACCTTTGCAAGTTGTAGTGTAATGAGTCCAAGATCAAGAAGGGTTGTTGCAGTTTCTCTGAACATTGCACAGTCAGACCTTTGGGTCTTAATTGTTTTCCACTCGTGAAGAATTTTTCTTGGGCTACAATGATGGACTTTAGATTGTTCAGATAGAGCTTTGTAACTCTTTCCAGAGTAATTAGATTGCTGATGTTTTTCTTGGGCTTGTATTTGACCAGGATATATCCTTCAATGCACATATTAAACAGATATGTAGGAGTGCTTTGTTCCATTTGCACAATATCTCTAAAATTAGAAACATCCCGATGTTGAAAAACTAGTTTATGTATTTATTACTTCTAGGCTGGAGTACTGTAATTCATTGTTGAGTAGATGATTATTATGTTCTGATATGTAAAGCATTTTCTTTTTAATATAAATAAACTCAAGAAGAAAGATCTTTCTAGGCCAGCACTACATCAGGTCAGCATTGATAGCCACTATTTTTCTCATCAACTAAAGCAGTTTTGTCTGCCGAGGACTGCACTGGATTTCCAAGAAACCTTTTGCATCATCAATGATGTAATTTCTTTTCTTCGTGCTCTCAGGGGAGGTTTTCAGTGCAACACAGGCCCTTGGTGTTGCACTGAAAACAAAGATTTATCTTCATCTTGAAAGAAAAAGTCTGGAGTGAACATTTGAGTAAAGTCCAAAAAAATGATCTGTTATTCCTCAAGCTTCCTGTGAGCCTCCTCTCTGTAGCTGCCAGTGTATAATGTTTGAGGTTCAGTTTATTATCAAGTCGGACTGCTGACATTCTTATTGATCAGTCATATAAGCCCCCCTGGTGAGCTGTGAAAACTGAAAACGCACTGCAATATTATCACATTATTCCCTTATGCCTATGAGAAGGAAATTTTCCTTGCAGCTTTAAAACACCCCTTAAAGAGAAAAAGATGTTGGTTGTTGACACTGTACCAGATTTTTATGCAAAACAAAAACAGGACTTTCAGCGCTGTCAGAATCAAAGACACAATTTTTTAGAGGAAGGCCTGCAGCCTACTGACTATAAGTTCTCTACATTTTGCAGGCCAAAGCTTAACTGCTCCATAACAGAAGCTTAGAAAGACTTAGTACTGCCTCTGAGTGGCCGTGCTTCCACATTGCAGCTCCACAAAGCATCACAACCACACATGTGCTGATTATGCAGCAAGTGGAGTCCACATCCACACATACAGTCCTTAAGTAACAGCCGCTGTACAAAGACTTTTTATTTAATGACAGCTTTAATAACAAAGGTATTGCACAAGCCATTTAGGCCATTTTTATACACCCTATGATTTTCAGAGGCTCAAAAGTAATTGGACAACTGAAGACAACCCAGTGGATGACTGTAAAATTCTTGGTGAAATAAAAATTCCCTTCAATCACATCCTGATTGTTTAATTTACAATCCACTGTTTGAGCGGGCAATCCATATGCTGAGGGAAATTGCAGGGGCCTTAGTCTGTGTCCACTTATGACTACTTCCTGCAACAAGAATTCTTAACTATAGCATATCAAAAGTAGCTGTGGAAAACTTTTTATTAAAAAGATCTCATTCATATACAGTGGTATACAAGACTTCATTCCCTGTTAGTGGGTAACCTGTCCATTTATGAAGTCCAGAAGCTGAGGTGGGTCAGAGAAGTACAACGAGGGTCACACATTAGCACTGCTCAGTTCTGTGATTAGAACTTCACCACTTTAGGCTGCTTGGGTTTGGCTTTCTTTACTGGAATGTGCACTTCCTCATGGTCTGCACTCATGTTGTTGGACAACCAGCCCACTGTCACATGATTATCTGGAAGCATATGAAGAGGGAAAGAATAAGAAACATCAGCCATGCCCCGCCCAAATCCTTTCCCATTATTTCTAGCTACCCACCACACCACAGGCTAGAAACACATTTGTTATAGACCTACAGACCTTTACATTTTCAGCTTCCTAAGCCAAAGATGTTCTCTAATTAATATCAGACTTCTGAGTGATTTTGCAAACTAATCTAAAAGGGATCATTTTTCAGGTGCACTGAAATCCCAAAAGCAAACGTTTAATTCCAAAGGTACTCACTTGGAGTCTGGTGCTCTGGACAGTCCTTCTGAAAATGTTCCACTGAGCCACAAATATGACAGCAACCTCCTGCAAAACACAAGATGCAGATGCAGTTCTGTCATCGTAAAGGGTTATTTTAAACATTCAGTGGTGCAAAGCTAGCTTCCAAAAATACAAATATAAAACTAGAAATGAGCACAATAGGTCTGCTTTACAGATTTAGGAACTGGATGCATAAAAACATGCTGGGTCAATTTTATTTATATAGGACCAAATCACAGTAACAGTTGCCTCAAGGCGCTTTAAAACACAAACACTTGAATGCTAATGTTCTCCTTTCTGATTAAAACTACCTCAGAGAGCTAAAAGGTTAGATGAAGACCTCCTGCCATTGTAGCTTAAAGACTGAGTAAACTGCCAACATGGAACCAGCTATCCTCTCTCATGCAAGTGTGAAATTACTTATCGAGGACATGATGTATGAATATCTGTCTTTTTACCTTGAGCGTAAAGTCCTTTGGGATTATCAGGGCAGGATCGTGACAGATGTCCAGTCTGACCACAGATAAAGCACTTTGCATATGGGTAATCACCTGAGAGAAGCAGCATGGTTACAGCAGTGTTACAGGCAAATCTGATACAGCTGTTCAGGTGTTAGTCTCTGTGTTTATTCCTCACCCAGAGCAGGGTCCACTTTAGCTTTGCATTTGTAGATTTCATGTTCAGTGGAGCCACAGCGGAAGCAGATGCCTCGGCCCATCTCCTCATCTCTGTCAGCCTCTGGACAGTCTGCCAACCCGTGACCGGGCTTCCTGCAGTTAAAACAGAACTGAGAAGAGACACGTGAGTGAGGATTCAGAGGAGCATCATAGATCACATCGGGGTCAACAGAATTTCTATAAGTTCACGAAGATTTAAAAAAACATCACAACTTCTAAAAACGTTTTAAAATATACCAGTTTGATGCGCACTGAACACTTTCATTGAAAAGTGTGTGAGCTCAATATTTATATGTCAACTCACAGCTTCCCAAATTGATCACAGAGATTTACTGTTTTTGTTTATCTTATTTTAGTTATCCTAGGATTTTTTCATAGATTCAACTAAAGAAACAGTGTGGTGTGTTTTTGTGATGAGCTGCTGGTAACAAAGCTGTGCCTAAAGTTACATGTAGGCACAACACTGGTTCGTCAGTGTGAAGTGGCTTAATAGATTCCTGTCAAAATGCCAGGAACACGAACTACACTAAAGCAGAGTGAAAAAGCAGCCAACGTCCAAACTGAAACTTTGAAGGAGCTTCAGAAAGCCTGGACAACTACAGCTAAAGAAATGAGAACAAAGTGTCACTTCCAGATCAGGTGTAGCCACCATGAAGCCTCCTGACAGGTGTGATGTTCACGGCTGTGGTGGCAGATTTCAACAACTGCAGTGCTCCCCAAATGACCACGGGTGGCAGTATCTCACACTCCTGCCCTATCTTTATTGAACTATAGCTCACCAGCTAACTAACTTTCCACAGTCTAAGACCGAACTCCATCCTCCAACATGAACATGTTTGCCTTCAAACAGCGTGGTTTATCAGAGACTAACCCCAGAATTCAGGAGTGGATAGAATGGCCTGCCTGCAGTCCTCACCTTAAACCCATAGAACACTTGTAGGATCACCTTTGCGTGCTGTTCATAACTGCTCAAAGAAGTCCTACCATTAATTAATGTTCAAACTTAAATATGACGAACCGATCTCTATTAATCTATGTACTGTAGTTTTTCAAGGTAGCAGTAGTTAAACCACTGCTTAAAAAGCCATCTCTTGACCCAGCTGTCTGAGGTAATTATAGGCCAATCTCCAACCTTCCTGTCATCTTAAAAATCCTTGAAAGAGCAGTTGTTAAACAGCTAACAGATCACCTGCAGAGGAATGGCTTATTTGAAGAGTTTCAGTCAGGTTTCAGAGCTCATCCCAGCACAGAAACGGCTTTAGTGAAGGTTACAAATGATGATAACATTGTATTAGAACATGCTGTAGGTATTACAGGTACTGCGCTGCAGTGGTTTATATCATATCTAATAGACTCCAATTTGTTCATGCAAGTTAACCTTGTGGAGTTCCGCAGGTTTCCATACTAGGACCAATTCCGTTTACATTACATGTATAAACTGATAAAACTTAGGTTTTTTTCCATCTATCAGCAAGAGTACTGAGAGCACTATGTGGGATCTCTACCAACATTAAACTGATGTAAGACGACTACAGCTCAAACCACAAATGGAATTTCCTTACATATACAAGCTTTCCAGTTGTATAAGATTTATATATTGTTGAAACAAAGAAATAATGGACCAAACACAATTTTCTTCACTTTTTGTGTCTACTTTATTTTTTCAGACCAAATGTAGGTATTCTAATTCAATGAACTGTGAACTACTACTATTACTACCACTACTTCACTACTGTGAACATGTTGGGAGTTTCCAAAAGTCTTAGTTGGGAAAATGTTTCAGACTTTCAACAACTCACCATTTTGTTCTTCTTATTGGTCTGTCTTTTTATCCTCCTGTCCTCCCTCTTCTTGTCCTTCTTTAGAGCATTTTGCACCTCCTCTCTGAGCTCATGCTCTCCCTCCTGACTTTTTTTAGCCAGGTGCTGCCCCGTTTGCTGGAGATACTCCAGGAAGCCGTTTACATCCTCGCTGACGTACTGCTTTTTCTTGCCGTTGGGTTTCTTTATAGCAGACCCACTGGGCTGTGTCTTTCTCAGAGGATTCCTCTCAGCTACTCCTTTAACGCCAGCAGTGCTGCTGCTGCCACCGTCGCCTCCTCCGGCTCCTGGTGGTCGTCTTGTTCTCAGCTGACTCCAGGGGGTGGCCTCCGCTGGTTTGTGTTTGTGGACGTTGTTAGCTCTCGCCCACCTCGTCATGACTGCAAACAAAACACTGAAGCACAAGAAGAAGGATTTCAAAGGAAACGTGGTGACATACACTTCATCAACAGGAATATTTCCAAACGTCTTCATAAAAGCATTCAGATATAGATGGGTGAATAAAGCCTTGGTAAGCTTTTGAGGTTACTTCCTGGTTGTACTGAAAAATGATTTGAAGCTTAAAACCCTCAAAGATGGATCCTACCAGTAACATCTATTGGTCAGCTGCAATTATAGCAGCCATGACTTCTAAAGCAACAGTAGGCGTCACCCCTACCTCATTTTGACCCCGTAGAAATTAATGCTAAACTAGTAATAGGCTGCCCCACTAGTAAACCTGGTTACGTAGCCCTTGTTATTTGGACACCTTTTGACATGAAGGCTGTTGTAAAATGATCATAATAACCTTATAAAGTAATCTTAAATACTGATATTGTCAAATCCCACTTAAAATTGGAACAGAAATTAGATGAAAATGAACAACTTCATCATTACTGCTGTTATTGCAGGTAGGAGTTAAAATGATCCCTCCTGGCTCTAGTGTTAAATGTGTTGTCCTGTTAGATTTCAGACAGTTTTGTTTTGTGACGTGAGATGACAGACATTTTAACATCACAGTGTTGAAGGTATGATTTTAAAGTCTGTGAGTTCTAGCAACTGAAGATCTCTCCCAGCACCATGAAGCAGGGAGGAAACACTGAACATTCCAAGTCTCCTCATAATGAATGAAACAGCAGCAAAGATTCCAATCAGTCACCTCACTTCAGAGAAAATTAAGACTTTTGTACTCAGCCATAAACATATTAGAAATATGGTATCTTACCAGAATTCCCATGATGCACTGGTTGCATCGTCACTAACCATACATTAATACGCCTCTCTGCATTTAATTATGAATTATTATTCATCTCTTGCTCTCTTCCACTGCATGTCTGCTTCCTGTCTTCCTCCCCTCATAGGGGCCATCTGATGTTTGGGGTTTCTCCGTATTGCTGTTGGGGCTTAACCTTACAATACAAAGTGCCAGTCCAAAAACAAATCAGTCCAAGGTACAAAGTTTTCGAAGGAGGATGCGTAGTTTCTAATGTCCCCTCCACCGCTCATCGTTGTTTAAACGCAGCAGTGAACGTGTAGCATTTCCAAATCAGTCAAAGCTTCAAACCAGCGCATGTAGAGCTGAACCACATACTCATTAACACATTAACATGCATCACTACCGCAGCCTATTCTCTTCTATCGTCAACGACCACTGAGCACGTACCAAACCCCCTGTCTGCTCGACATTTTGATAAAAGTGTCTTTACAAATGTCAAGAAACTTCGGCTAAATAGCGTTACCTCCCCACGTCTTCAGCCCGTGTTTGGTTTTTAAACCGGAAATACTTTCTTTTTCTTAATGGTGATTTGTGTGCATGTGTATGGCGCAGGTCTGCCACCCTTTGGTGTGGAGTCATTACTGCATATGAGCGCAATAATAAAAAATAAAGAAATTAAAAAATAAAAAATACATTAAAAAAACTAAATATATATAAATGTGTGTGTGTGTGTGTGTGTGTGTGTGTGTGTGTGTATTGTGTAATTTGGAAAGTTATACTTTCTCCACTGCTGATAATAAAATATTAATATAGTATAAATATTAATAAATTAGGAAAAAGGGGGCCGTCTGACTGTTGTGGTTTCCTCTGTTTTCTCTGTATTATTATAGGGCCTTTACCTTCACTATAAAACACTCTGAGGTAACTGTTGTTGTGATTTGGTGATATCTTAAAAAAAAAAAACAACAGAAAAATTTGAATAGATGTGTGAAACCCTACACCATAAACTAGCATATTAAAATGTATTTATGTATTGCCTTATTAAAACTGTGAAACCTCCTCCTATGAGCCTCACAGGACTGAAGGAGGAAGCAGCATCAGCTCACAGCTGATTTTATTTAGTGCAATTAATGAGGATGAGGAGCTGGAAGCCTCACTTGTGTCCTGACCTTAAACAATATGCTGCAAATACTCTGTGTTGCTCTTGTGTGTGCAGAATATCTGAAAGACGGTAAAAAGTCAGCATCTAACATGATTATTTTTTTAAATTACATTTTTCCTCTTTAAATAAGCAAGCGGGTGTTTTTCTCTCCTGTTGTGTTTCAGTGTACTGCAGTCCTCTACAAGAAGCCAAACGAGGTATAATGTGTTCACGTTTAAGCCTGGAGGGATGAGTGTCCTGGTATTTTAAATATCAGAACACTCTTGAGCGTTATGCTGTGTAAATGTGTTTTTACAGCTCTTAAAGATGACTGGCTAATCAAGGCGGTGCATTACATGGAGGAAAACCCAGAAACTTTAGAAGGTGAGCCCTAACAGTGTTTTGGTCATATTTTTTCTTCATACATGATGCTGTACCTCACTGCGCACAGTCAGTTGTGCGCAACCAGGAGCCACAAGCTACCTAGGTTTATTCAGTGTTAGTTAGTCATATGGGCTGAGTTAATTCTTCTAGATGGAGTTTGATTATTAATGGATCAGATCATTTTGGCTAACTAGGAAGCACCTCAAGGGTGTGGCTGATAAATGTTTTATCAGCCGTTATTTATGAAGTTTTTAGGATATCATTTGTAGTTAATAGTCAAACCTTTTCAAAACAAGCACTGGAAACCTTAAAGTTATCACATGAACTAATGGTAGAAAATAAGTGAATGTGATTGAACAATACAACTTTGTAGTAGCACTTTGTAGCTTCATGCTGATCTCCTCTTGTCGTTCTGTTAGAGCTGATGGACAAAAACTATGCTTTGGCAGAAGGAGACATGGTGTTGTTGGTGAGTTACCTGAGAACACATGCCAAAACTGAGGCAACAGATCCACAGACAGACTTCTACACAAAATTTGGTTTGAAATGTCTGCACATTGAGTTTAGGAAAAAAGTTTGCAAGAATCGTACTCTTTGTAAATTATGGACATAACCACAGCCATGTTAGTGGGACCTGTGGTAAACTTCCAGCTGAGCATTTTTGCCACCATAATTCTAGTGTTCTGAATCCAAACATGATCAGAATGACAGAAACTAACAACAAGGTGGGGCCTTGCCTCCTTTGAGTCTAATGTGAACCATAATTTACAAAACAAATTCAGAAGGGCATGAACATGGCAGTTAAGACCAGAAAATCGTAGGAAAAAGTTCATTGAGGTCATTTAAGCTTCATAACACTGAGCAAAGATGTGATGTGGACTAGGCAGTCGGTGAACACTCTAAGTATTTCATTTCTTCTGCAGAATGACAGGAATGCAGTGAGCAGTAGCTGGCCAACTCTGGAGATACCCTATATCATTAGCCCAGATTTAGGTAAGCACAGTATGTGCATTTCATTGGATCTTTGAGAAGTCTGTCTTACTGCCACTTTGTTTTTCAGCTAGTCGCACAGATGATATTCTCTCTGCTATGGAGATGGTGTCCAAACACACCTGTGTATCCTTCCACAAGCGAACCATCGAGCAAAACTACCTGCTCTTCAAAACCAGTACAGGGTATGTAGTTTTCTGAAGCTCAGTCTAAACTCTGTTTGAACTGCAGTTGGAGCTCAGATTGTATGCTGAACACCCCAAGTTTTCTGCAGCACTTAGTGTTCTGATTGGGTTTCTGAAATATTCAGTTTCTGTATCTTAACATGACAATATGACATCCTGGCTGCAGAAACCTCTGGCCTGTACTGCAGGTCAGCATACTCAGAACCTATATCAGGCTTCACTAAATCTAGTAACTGCTATCACGTAACAGAGAATCACTCAGCAATGTCAGTCTACAAAAGAAAAAATGGTGAATTTGGTACTTCAGTCATGCCTCAGAGCTCATGACTGTGAGGATGGAAATGGATCAGTTGAAAGTGAGTTTAAGCACCCTGACCAAGGCACATAACGCTGGTTTAAAAAGAAAAAGACTCTCCTCACTGCTGGCAAGATTAAGTACAGCAACAACTGCTTTTTATTTTTCAGATATTAATGTTTAAAGATGGATGTCTCATTTAAAAGAAAAAAAACAAAAACAAAAAAACAGGACACTAACCTGCAGTTTTGTTCTAGCTGTGCGTCATTTGTGGGCTTAAAGGGTGGCGAGCAGCCTGTTTTTGTTGGGCCCCAGTGCATGGTAGGTAACATTGCACATGAGATTCTTCATGCTCTGGGTTTCCACCATGAACACACAAGGATGGACCGTGAACAGCACATCACCGTTATTCACAGCAACATTATGCCAGGTAAGGGTTCTCCTCAAATATTATCTGTACTGTTTAAACGCTATGGTAGCTAAATGGTCATAATGCTTGGAACTTGTACAATAAGAAAAAGTGTTTTGTATGTATGTGTTTTTCAAACTCCAGCTTTCCCTTTATTTGACATAAAAAAATGAACCTGTTTACATGTGTGAGGCAAACACAGCTCTCATCTTGGAAGATGAGCTTCACCACAGTTTACTGCACATTGTGCATTTACCAAAACTTTTTGGGGGTTATTGATTGTTTACACTCAGGGAAAGTATCACATGTCTTTCAGGGATGGAGAAAAACTTCAGAATGCAAGATGGCGAGACCTTTTCTCTTCCATATGACGCTACCTCCATCATGCACTATGGAAGGTACAGTACCCAAAATGACAAATGCTTAACAAACCGTTTCTCTATAAAGGTTATGTGGTACTTCAAGGTGATTACTCTTGTGTCAGGGATTTTTTTTCAGCGACCGGCCTGCCCACCATCTTCCCAAAGAAAGATGTGAAGGAAATGGGACAGAGAGATAAACTGACAAAGACTGACATTGAAAGGGTTCGACGTCTCTACAGCTGTGGTATATTCTCAACTCTGCTCACTGCACATAAATTTCATTTGTGGTCTCCACATTTTGAAGCTTTAAAGTTAGTGTGGCCACCATATTTTTGTTGGAACCAGAAGTGATCGCATGTGGAATCTTAGCAAGGTGCACCGAGGCGCTGTTTGGTGCTAATGTGGAGAAAGTGATCCAACAAAATGTCTGGGATTGTCCATCAAAAAGTTGTCAGCCAAGCTGCCTGTCAAAGTAGCCATGCCTCTGAATTCAAGTCTTACCCAAAACCAAGTGAGTTGTAAAGATCCATTAGCTAAAAAGAGCACCCCAGCCTAATATAGGACTTTTGTTTTCCCTCCAAGTGGCAAAAGTGAGTTTCCTTGTGACAACCATTTTGCATTTTTAATCATTTTATATGTACATATGATTTATATATACAGTTAGGGCCGTATGTATATATATTTAGACACTGACACAGGTTTTGCCTGTTTACTAAAACATATTCATATTGTTGACATGGACATAATGTGTAGACTCTCAGCTTTCATTTGAGGGTATCCACATTCAAATTGGATGAAGGATTTAGAAGTTTTAGTTCTTTAACATGTGCTACGCTATTTATTTTTTTAAAGGGACCAAAAGTAATTGGACAATTGACTTAAAGGCTATTTCCTGAGCAGGTGTGGACAATTCCTTCATTATCCCATTATTGATTAAGAAGATAGTAGGCCTAGAGTTGATTTGAGATGTGGCGCTTGCATTTGGAAGATTTTGCTGTGAACCATGCGGTAAAAGACATTTTCTGTGCAGGTGAAGCTGTGAAAACGGAAACAAAAAAAAAAATCATAGAAATTGCTACAATATTAGGAGTGGCTAAATGTACAATTTGGTACATCCTGAGAAAGAAGGAAAGTACTAGTGAACTCAGCAATGCAAAAAGATTTGGATTCTTTGGACAGATTCTACCAGAATGATTGTATACCACATCACCTGTAAAACATGGCACAGGCAGTGTCATTGCTTGGTCGTGCATGGGTGCCAGTGGCACTGGGATACTAGCGTTCATTGGTGATGTGACACAGGACAAAGCAGCCCAGTGAATTCTGAGGTGTTCATAGACATGCTGTCAGCTCATATCCAGCTAAATGTAGTCAAATCGATTGGGTGGTGTTTCATTATACAGATGGATAATGGCCCAAAACATGCAGCCAAAGCAATCCAGGAGTTTATTAAAGCAAATAAGTGGCGTATTCTTGAATGGCCAATTGAGCATGAATTTCATTTGTTGAAAACCTGAGACAGGCCCACAAACGGAAACTGAAAGCTGCTGCAGTAAAGGTCTGGCAGAGCATTAAAAAGGAGGAAACCCAGCATCTGGTGATGCCCATCAGTTCAAGACTTCAGGCTTTCATTGGCAACAAAGGGTTTTCAACCAAGTATTAGATATG